ATTTCGATCGATCGAAGCTTTTTGATCAATCGGACACTTAGCTTCGATCGATCGAAGCTGATGTGGCTTGAAAATATCTTTCAGGCTTTATCTAATTGGCTGAGCTGGCACCGCTTCATTTGGATTGATTGTAGACCTCTTAGATCGATCGGGACTCTTTTTCGATCGATCGAAGTTCCCCTGGTGCATTTTTCTTGGCTTCTTTCTAACTTTGTTCCTTAGCTCCAAAATTGAGTTAAATGGCTCTTGTTAGCCTGTTTAAACTTTATTAAACTGAAATAGGCAAAAACACAAATAAGTATCTAAGATATGAAAGTAAGATAGATGAATGGACTAAAATACTCTAGCATAGGTGCTAAAATGCGTCACATTTGAGCACTTATCAGACTCTTAAATGAATAAAGACAGGGCTAATATATGCCACTTAAAGCTCAACTTGACCAACCCCGAACCATGTGATATTTGAGTGGACGCCAGAGTGCAAGCAGATATTCTTCCAGAATATCATATAGTTTTGATTAGAGCGTTTTAAATATGTGAAAGAAAATGAAAGTTTTGCTGCAGGGGAAGCTCACTGTAGAGGGCGCGTTCGCGTCCTTTTATTTAAGGATGGCAACGGGGCGGGTTTGGGTGGGTATACCCTCTTCTGCCCCCAACCATTTAAAAACCCTACCCCCATCTTCGCCCAAAACCGCAAAAACGGGGGAACTTTTCACCCCATCCTTGTCCCCGTTTAATATCTTTATCTTTGTGGGTACCCGCCCCGCCTGTTCCGTTTAAAATCAGAAATTCTCCTCCATTTAATTTTTTTTTTTATCAACTAAAATTATATAATTATTGAAATGATTCATAAAAAAAATAGATAATAAATAGTTTAACATAAAATTCAACATTAAAAACATTCTAAATGGTCGCGCACAAGCTACTTGTTACAGATTTTTAGATTTTGTTGCAAAACAAACTATCTCAATATATATAGGGGTTAAGTGCAGAAAATGCCCTTGAAGTATGTTTATAGTGCATATTACACCCCTCACGTGCAAAAAACACCCCTCAAGTTTCAATTTGGTGCAATTAGGTCCCCATGACACATTTAAAATCTATATTAACCAAATTACCCTTATTGAATAATTTTATAAAATATATAAAATTAATTTTTTTTTGTAAAAGACCAAAAAGGACACTGTTTTTGCCTTCTCATCTCTTTGACTTTACAACCGCCTCCTCTTCCTACTCCCCCACAAAAAAAGAAAGAAAGAAAGAAATAATACTAGTTATAGAGTAATTGTACTCCGGCGAGGCGAAAAGGATGTTGTTGGCTTCGAGAATATTTTGCCGGAAAGCCACCACCGCCGGCGGGAACCTTCCGTCCTTCTTGAGATTAGTGTTGAGCATCGGCAGCGGCACTATATCCACGTATTTGATCTGTAAACCGTTGATGGATTCTTTGGATAGCTTAATCGCTACAATCAACAACACCAAATGATGATCAAAATTCAAATTCAACTCATATGAAACCACATGAGACAAAAAGTTCACACACATACTCACACGCACACACACACACACACACACAAGAGCATAGGTAGGTAGAGACTAAAGAGAGTACCATAGTGGATGAGGCCTCGATTGAAGGAAGCTTTGCAAAGCGATCTGCAGAGAGCTGCGGCTTTGATGATTGGTGTGGCCACTGCTGCTTCCATTTCTCTTTCTCTCTTTAGAATATTTTCTCTCACTTTTGCGGCAGCTTTTTAGTCACCAAACAGTTCTCCGTTTCAATACATATTCTCCCCACTCACATTATTCTTGCAAATCACTGGTTTAACTATGATTTATATGAAGTTATGTCTACCTTCTTGTTTCTAGAATTTAGGTGTAGTGGTTATACTTTTTTTTTTGGGTAATTGAGTTTAGTGCTTTTACTGGTTTGCTAAATCTCACAGAGAGTCTTTGTGGTTGGGTGAAGATGCTAATTGGTTGTACCTCATGATTTCATTGAAGATGATGATTGTATGGGCATTTTGGGAAGAATAAAAGGGTAAAATAGGTATTACATCACTAATTTATATCAGATTTCTGACAGAGGGGTAATTTTGCACAATATCAAAAGACTAGGGGTGTTTATTGCACACTTTTTAAAATATGGGTAAAAGTGCTATGAAAAATATACTTCAATGGTGTTTACTGCATTTTCCCCACATATATAGTAATGGAATAAAGATACTAATACAAAATATATATACTATTGAAATAAGAGTATTTAACTAATTACCTATTTAAACGGGTTAGGACAGGGCCAGATGATTTCCCCGTCCCCGCACTGAAGTCGCACGGATTTTCATTACATTAAACCATCCTGCCCAAATAAGTTGAACAGTCCCCAAAACTGCTAAAAACGAGGTTGGGCTGGTCAGAGGCAAATTGCCATCCCTACCTCATTCTAAGAGCAATTGCAACAGGCTCTTCAAAGCCTATTTTCCACGAGCATGAAGGGCCTTTGGGCGTGCAGCGGTATAGCCAAAATTGGTGGGGCCAGTTTTGCTTGCAGGCCGGCCAGTGATCGTTGAATTTTTTTTTTTTTTTTTTTTTTTTTTGTTGCAAAACGGTGCCATTTTGGTTGCCTTTTTGGTTTTTTCCTCCCAAAGGTTCTGCATAGTGACTAAACAGTTTGGCAGGAATTTTTTTTTTTTTTGAAAAAAACCTACAAATTGGTTATTTAGAGCTCTTTTTTTTTTTTTTTTTTTAAAAAAAATAAATTTCATTAAATAAAAATATATTGTTTAGGCATTATTTGTCAAAAAAAAAAAAAAAAAAAAAATTCTTTTGGGCCAAAAATAAATTAAAAAATATATATATATATTTTTTGTTTTTCCCTTTAAAATTTGGTTTTTTTTTTTTTTTTTTTTTTTTAAATTTCTTTAAATTTTAAATGTGTACCACAAATAGTGTATTAAGCGTTAGACCACTGTTTGGCTGACACAAACAACGCCTTAACGGATATAATTTTTAAATAAAATTTAAAAATTCAAAATTTTTTAACTTTATTAAAAAAAAAAAAAAATTTAATTAAAAATTTTAAAATCTCTATAAATATTCCAACTCCTATCATCACTCATCACATCTAACACATCTCTATTATCTACCGTTCAACTTATTTCTTAATCTGTTTTCTCAATCTTAGTTATTATTTTCAAAGTCATTTCGATTCCATGGATCATCGACATTCATTTTATTACAACACCCAATTCAACCCATCAAACGATGAGTTTTTGCCATTTCCCGAAGACAATATTAATGATTATGGAGGAGATTCTCAATTTCCTTCTCATCAACCATCCCAACTTTTTTATCAACCATCCCAACCTTTTTATCAACCATCCCAAAATTCTCATCAATATTATGGTACTAGTGTTCCACAATCAAGTACCTCAAAACCTTTGCCAAAACAACCAGCTATCCGACCTAATAATTGGACCAAGGCTGAAGATGAGGCTTTATGTTGGGCGTAGATGTCCATTACCTCTAATGCGATTACAGGACAGACCAAAGTAGGAAGAAGTTATGGGAGCGAATTCTGGAAGAATATAAATAACATATTGGTGTTTCAACTGAGCGAAATGATGGAGGTTTGATGAATCATTGGTCGGTGATCTAACAAAAAATCAGCAAATTTTTCGGGTACATGACTACTATGGAAATGAATCGTCCTAGCGGCTTTAGCAGTGATGATATGATGAGTTATTTATTGTTTAAATATAACTCGTAAATATTTTAAATAGTCGGATTTTAATTTTTTGTTAATTTTTTCGTGTAGATGATAGCAGCTAAAGACCTGTTTCGTAGCCAAACAGGTGGTGAATTTAAGTTAGAAAGTTGTTAGGAGATCTTGAAGCATAACAATAAATGGCATTCACATTGTGCTGAACAAGTAGGAAAAGGCAAAAAAGAAAAAATAGCTGAAGAAGAGGAGCGGATTTGACTTTGACATTAATGAGTCTGTTGGGCACTCATTACCATCTACTTCGTCAAGTCATGTAGCCACGATAGATGGAGCTTCAACTGAAGAATCACCACACATAGGGGAAAATGATTCACCCAGTGTGGAAGAATATCAATAACTACAAAGACCAGCAGGAAGAAAAGTGGCGAAGCAGCGTCGAGCAAAAATTAATTCAGCGAATGAATTACAAACCTCATTCGTTTCGAAATTTAATAATATCACCGGCCGTTTTGAGAGTCGTCAGGAGAAAATGCAGGATGCCCAAGTGGCACGAGAGGTAAGAAAAATGGAGAAAGAGAAGACGAGGCAGCTAGAGATTCTAGAGAAACAGAGACTTGAAGAGAAGGAAATCATGTTAACAGATCCAAATTCAGCATCAACAGAAGCGGGGAAAACTTGGATTATTGCACGACAAAATGAGATATCGGCATTTTTGAATTCATGGTCCTCCCCAAAGGTCCGATAGGATTTTGTAATCCTTGGTCTATTTATTTTCTTATTCCAATTTAAGATATTATATTGTTTAAGTTATTTTTAATTATTTTGTTTAATTTTTTTTTTTTTTAATCCATAATAGATAATGTATTGTTTTAAGTTATAATATCAATCGTAGTTTTTTTAATAATTTACAAAAATATTGTTTGATTGAAAAATATTGCTGTTGAGAAAATATAATTTTTACAAATATAACTGTTAGAAATATAGCCGTTAGGAAATTTTTTTAAAAAAATAATAATTTTATAATTTTGTTTTTTTAAAGCGAAAATTCGGAGAGTCTGATGGAGTGTATGTTTTTGGAGAGCGAAATTTATTGACGTGACTCTTAAAATTGCTAACGTGACTTTTAGAAAAATTGATGTGACATTTTTAGAGAGCTAAAATTTGAAAAGACAGGTACAGATGATCTGAAGCAAGAACTTCAAGGATAAAACTTCACTCAATTTTGTGGGACCCAAAAGATGTAGGACCCACAATCTGCCGGGTCCAAAATCCAAATTGAGTTCTCCGCTCAGTTCGAGACCGTGAATTCTCAACAGTTATTAGCATTTTTCCTCTCTCCTCTTCGGGATAGCTCACTGCAAAACACGCATAAAACCCTAAACCCTCTCTCCCATGTGTTGTCACTGAAAACCCTAAACCCTCTCTCTGAAAGTCTCTTCCTGCGACCGTTCTACCACCACCCCACCCATGGCGGAGCTGAAACTCTCGGAGACGCGAGACTTAACCCGAATAGAGCGCACAGGCGCACACTCCCACATCCGAGGGCTGGGGCTCGACACAACCCTCGAGCCCCGCGCCATCTCGGAGGGGATGGTGGGTCAGACCTCCGCCCGTAAGGCGGCCGGTGTCATCGTCCAGATGGTCAAAGACGGCAAGATCGCAGGCCGGGCCGTCCTCCTCGCCGGCCAGCCCGGCACCGGCAAGACCGCCATAGCCATGGGCATGGCCAAGTCACTCGGCTTAGAAACCCCCTTCGCAATGCTCGCCGGCAGCGAGCTCTTCTCTCTGGAGATGTCCAAGCCCGAAGCCCTAATGCAAGCATTCCGCAAAGCTATCGGAGTTAGGATCAAGGAAGAGACCGAAGTGATTGAAGGCGAAGTTGTGGAAATCCAAATCGACCGTCCTGCGGTGGCCGGCGCGGCGTCCAAGACGGGGAAGCTGACGCTGAAGACGACGGAGATGGAGACTGTGTATGATTTGGGGGGAAAGATGATTGAGGCATTGGGGAAGGATAAGGTACAGAGTGGGGATGTGATTGCCATTGATAAGGCGTCTGGTAAGATCACAAAGCTCGGGAGGTCGTTCTCGAGGTCGAGGGACTACGATGCCATGGGACCGCAGACAAAATTCGTGCAGTGTCCTGACGGAGAGTTGCAGAAGCGGAAGGAGGTCGTGCATTGTGTTACTCTTCATGAGATTGATGTTATCAACAGCAGGTATTCATTTCTATTGCTTACTGGTATTAGTGCCCTTTATAAAGATGAAAATTTGCACTTTAGATGACCTCTTAACATCAAAATTGTAGACTAATTCATGGCTAATATATACTTAACCTATAATTTTTCATAATTTTAGTAGCTCTAACCTAATGCTTTATGTTTACTGAATTGTATAAAGATTTTAAATTTGAGGTTTTGGTGTAGATATCTTTCCTTGCTCTGATTAGTCATTCATTAAACCATTTTTATTTTTATTTTTTATGAGTAAGAATGTAATATAAAGAATTCAAAAGGGAAACGCATTCCGAAAGCTATACAAGACCTAACGAACCCAAAAAATCAACAAACTCCTCAATAGATATACAATTTTTCTCCAAAACCCAACTAAAAAGAGAGCTAAAAATATGAAACTTCAAAGCCCCCAAGGAAGATTCCTCCCCATCAAAAGATCTATTCCGCACCTTCCACAAGCACCACCAACACAAAGGAGCAGGTGCGGAAATCAAACGTGAAATGGTTTAAACATTTGCAACTTCAGTTTGCCATTGGAGAATGACAAGTCATGTTGTTCGTGTGCGTTCTTTGTTTTGTTCTTCCCTATTGTTCTTGCAATTTTGTGCACTTAATTCTTTTGGAAAGATGTGGCTCTTGAGAACCACAAAGCCCCCGAAAGCCTCAATGAAGTCAATGCTCAACTGAAGAGACTTGACCCATTTTAAACAAGGTTTCTTCACGCAAGAGCATTCAAGGCCCTCAGATGTGTGTTTTTTAGTAGGCTTTAGGCTCTGAAAAGCATGCCTCTGTCTTTTAATCATATCATTTTCTTTCTATTGTTTTCATTTATTAATAAGTGTTGACTAGCATGCTCTATATCAAAGATTTTATTGTATCAGATATTTGGCTTTTTTTTAATTTGAATTTCATGATTTTATGGTTGACAACTCGTGTCAAATATTTGTTGTGCTTGATTTTCAAAAGTCTATGATAATATTGTATATGCTTACGATTATATGAGGGTAACCTTTTAATTTTGCAGTATCTTTGTTGATTTGCTAAAAAATTCATCATCTTTTTTATTTTATTTTATTTTATTTTTAAAAAAAAAAACTAAATAAACTTATCTTTGTATTAATATATTCAGGGACGGTTTGATATAATTTGAGGCCTTATGCAAAAAATATAAAAGTGGGCTTTTATTAATATGTAATATATTAATATCAAATAATAATTATTTATGTTTATTTAATATAAAGTTACTAATTAGATTCTTGTATTCAAGCTTTGTTACAATTTTTTTTTTTTTTTTTCCCCCCAAATATATAAAATAACGAGTCCAATAGATAATTTGATATATACTCAATAATTAATACAATTGGTGTAATGATAGAGGTGAAAAAAATTGATATTGTGGACTTTTTGGGCTCCTTGAGATCATAGTTTCAGTTTTTTGTATAGCTTGGGACGCGTTCCCCTTTTGAACGCCTTCTAATACATTTTACTTATTAAAAAAAAATAATATAGGAAAAAGAAATTGGGGCCTTCTGCTATTGTTTGGGGTATAATAATATAAGGAAATAAAATTTTGGAAAGGTAATCATATAAGGAAATAAAAAATTGGGGCCTTCTGCTATTGTTTGGGATGTTTGTTTTTTGAGGCATTTCCAAGATTGGGAGGTTGAGGATATGCCATTGGTTTTTTGGAGTTGCTTTATCGCCAAGACATTGTGAGGGAGGTTTTTGACTTTTGTGTATGGGTTCCTTCCTCTTTGGGTCGCTTTGATGTTCGGTCTTTCTATAGGTGTCTTTCGGATGTTACGGGACCACCCTTCCCGTGGAAGGCTATTTGGTGTTCGAAGGCTCCTCTCAAAGTGGCCTTCTTTGTGTGGACTTCCGTCTTGGGGAAGATTTTGACTCAGGATAACTTTAGGAGGAGAAATCATATTTTGCTTAATTGGTGTTTTTTGTGGAAGAATGACGAGGAAACGGTTGATCATCTTCTCTTGCATTGTCCTTTGGCTCGAGATTGCTGGATGTTGATATTGGGTTTGTTGATGAACTCTGTATACAGATCCCTAAGCCCCTTTGTTGTTGTCATCATTTGGGTGATAGGATCTTGAGTATCAACATTTTCAGCTCGTTAAATTTCGAGAAAAACATTTTTAGCTCCTTAAATTTCGAAAAAAGAAAATTTCAGCTCCGTGGTTGTTATCAACATTTTCCTCGTCAAAGACTATCAAGGCAATAGGATCCTCTCCTTGGTGTTTGGTGTCAACATTTTCCTTGTAAGTCAAAACAAAGCTTGATATGAAGGTATTGATTGCAATACAATCCCGAGTATCCAGTTCAGCTCCTTGGGTAGCAACATCCTAAGGTATGCAGATCCTTAAGCCCCTTTGTTGTTGTCATCATTTGGGCAATAGGACTTGAGTTTCAAAATTTTCAGTTCCTTGGTTGTTATCTCATTGGTTGTTATCAACGTTTTCCTCTTCAAAGACTAACCTCTCCTTGGTAGGGCTGCAAATGAACCAAGCTGTTCATGAACAGGTCGGGTTCAACTCGCTAAGGGCTCAACTCGGTCTCATTCGTTAAGCAAATTAGCCAAGCTTGAGCCTAATTTCTATGCTCTTTTGGTAAACGAGCCGAGCCCGAACAACGTTAGGCTCGGCTTGTATGGGCTCGTGAACATGAGCTCATTTAGGCTCGTGAAAAAGACTCGTATAAGGCTCGTTTATTAGCCATTTATAAGTTCTTGATCCAGCCCATATACGTGAGTCCATTGCAATTATACATGATAAGCCTATTTAAAAACCATTACTACAATCTAAATAACAAAGCCCAATAAAAAATGGCCCATATTCATTTTAAAGACCTAACCCATTTATGGTAACAAACAGACCCTATTCTACTTTCATTCTCTACCATGAACGAAGCATAGGCGACATCGACAACGGCGGCGGCAGCCCCTCTCATCTTCTCTATTCTCTTCTTTCCTTCTCTGCAATGATTCTCCCTTCATCGGTCGCCGTTCAATATTTCGTATTCTAAGGACAACAATGGAAGAGTAATGAAAATAATTGCTAGCTATAGATGATTTTAGACAACCTGAGGTATGTATGTGCATATATATATATATATATATAGGTCTATAGCTCAACACATTGATATATATGATATATTTGTGTTATATATATACGCTAATCTGTTTTGTATTATATATGCTTGTATCTATGTGTGCTGTGTATCTATGTGTGCTATATATGTGTGTGTGTGTGTGTGCGCTGTATATAATGCCAAGGCTCGGCTCGGCTCGGTTCATTTGAAGCCCTACTCCTTGGTGGTTGGTGTCAACATTTTCCTTCAAAGCCAAAACAAAGCTTGATATGAAGGTATTGATGGCAATACGATCCCGAGGATCCAATTCATCTCCTTGGGGAGTAACATCCTAAGGTACCGCGAACTCTGAACTGTGCTAAAGTTTGTGCTAGAGTGTGTACTCTGATCTCCAAGTGGACGGAGGGTGAGGTTTGGGATGGCTGTGACCACCATTGTAACTAATGTCGATCCGACCATTTGGATCAATATGTCGATCCGACCATCTGGATATTTATCCACCTTCTTTTTACCGGCACAGTCCGTGCACTTCTAGTAAGTTCTTCGAATTTTGCTTCCTTTTAATTCGCCGTGCCCAATCCTCATCCAATTGTTCTCATCATTTTTTTCCTGATAGACCATCTTGTGGTGCTTGTGCGTTTTCTCCCTAAAAAACATTAGCAGATTAAGGATTGAAAGCATCCAAAAAAAAAAAAAGGACCATACAAGTTAAATAGACATATACATACAGTTGAATGTCGACGCTTCTGATATTGTTGGGCGGAGAAATCACCCAAAGGCAAACCCTCAGTTGTTGTTGGAACATCTTCTTGGTTGGTTGTGATGATGATCTCGAAATAAGTTGTGAAGGGGAATGATTGTGAATGCCTTGGTAAAAAAAACCCCAATGGTATATCTGTCATCTAAAGAGATTTCGATCTTCTTCTTGGCTGAACAGGTACTGAGTTTGCATTTGAAATAGATTTCCTTACTTTTGCTCTTTTCGTCCTTACTTTAGCTCTTTCTGTTCTACCCTGTTCTTCTCCGATTGAATCCATCATCAATTCTTTATAAAATTTTCCCTGTAGATTCCCACAAGAAGATTGTTCATATTCTTGGATTTGCAAGAAGTCCTTCCCTGAAGGGGAAACAGGAAGCACCAAATTTGACAACTCTGTTTGTGTCCCAGCACCTTCTGGTGGTGTTAGATTCTTATTGGAAGACCGTCCAAATTCTGGTAAGAAGAAGTCCTTTAGGAAAGGTGAAATAGGCAGAAGCTCCAAATCTTCTCCATATTTTGGTAGGAATAAGTCATTTCCTAACGGTACAATAGGAGGAAGTCTCAAATCTGACAACTCTGAGAAATCTCATCTTGTGGTGATGGTAGATTCCCACCCGAAGACTGTCCATATTCGATAGCCTTCAAAGGTCAAGCAATCAAGCACCAATGGATGTGGTAATTGCAGCAAGTGTTGTACAATTGCAATTTATATTCTGATAGATACATTTTTATGCAAGGAAAAAAAATTAAAAATTTTGCATGGCCAAAAAGGTACCTGTCTATATGGCAGAAATAATTAGAGGCGACTTTGCATGCTTATTCTTTTATTCAAGAACTATTAATTGATATTACCTTTTCATTTGTGGTAAAATCTTTACCAAGAAGCAACGGATGCAATTGCTCAGGTTGAGGAAAAAATATTTAGAAAAAAACCAATATCACAACTAATGAGAGTCAGATTTGGGATGCTGCTCTTTTCTTAAAGTCATCAGTCTTCGAATATAGTCTTCGGGTGGGAATCTACCAAGATGAGATTTTCTCAGAGTTGTCAGATTTGGAGCTTCCTCCTATTGTACCTTTAGGAAATGACTTCATTCTACCAAAATATGGAGAATATTTGGAGCTTCTTCCTATTTCACCTTTCCTAAAGGACTTCTTCTTACCAGAATTTGGACAGTCTTCCAGTGGGAATCTACCACCACCCCCAGAAGCTGCGGGGACACAAGTAGAGTCATCAAATTTGGTGCTTCCTTTTCCCCTTCAGGGAAGGACTTCTTGCAAGTCCTATAATATGAACAGTCTTCTTTTGGGAATCTACAAGGAAAATTTTGCAAAGAACTAATGATGGATTCAGTTGGACAAGAACAAGGTAGAACAGAAAGAGCAAAAGTAAGGACGGAAAGAGCAAAAGTAAGGAAATTTATTTCCAATGCAAATTCAGTACCTGTTTAGCCAAGAAGAAGGTCGAAATATTTTTAGATGATAGAAATATCATTGGCATTTTTTATCAAGGCATTCACAATCATTCCCCTTCACAACCTACTTCGACTTCATTATCACAACCAACTAACCTAGAAGATGTCCCAGCAACAACTGAGAGTTTGCCTTTGGGTGATTTCTCCGCCCAACAGTATTAAAAGCGTTCAACTGTATATCTATGTCTATTTAGCTTGTATGGTCCTTTTTTTTGTTAGGAGGCTTTCAATCCTTAAATCTCCTAATGTTTTTCAGGGAGAAAAAGCACATGCACCACAAGATGGTTTATTAGGAAAAAGTGATGAGTACAATTGGACGAGAACTGGGCACAACAAATTGAAAGGAAGCAAAATTTCGAAGAACTTGCTATAAGTGCACGGATTGTGCCGAAGGAAGGTGGATAAATATCAAGGTCGGATCGACATTAGTTACAATGGTGGTCACAGTCATACCAAACCTCACCCCCCGTCCACTTAGAGATTAGAGTACACACTTCAGCACAATTCAGAGTTTGCGGTGCCTTAGGATGTTGCTTCCCAAGGAGCTGAATTGGATACTCGGGATCATATTGCCATCAATGCATTCATGTCAAGCTTTGTCTTGGCATACAATGAAAATTTTGACACCAACCACCAAGGAGAGGATCCTATTGCCCTGATAAGTGTTGATAACAATCAAGGAGTTAAAAATGTTGATGCTCAAGATCCTATTACCCAAATGATGACAACAACAAAGGGCCTTAGGGGTCTGCAAACAGAGTTCATCAACATGAATATTGCATTTAAACAGGGCGTCAAACTTTCTTTGTATTTGCTCATTTTATTCTCCCCCATTTTGATAATGATAGTCAAACGAAAAGGACATAGACCATTAAAGATTGCCTAGGTTGAGGGTGAAACCACATCGGGTACTCAAACTTGGCTGCAGGTAGGAGCCTTTTTTAACATTGTTAAGCAAGTGGTATTTGATGTCAATATGTTTACTTCTGCCGTGTAAGGTGTGCTTTTTGCTGATTGCAATGGCACTTTGTAGGATGTGGAAATTGAATACCTAGGTAAGACAATGTGGACCTCATCCACAAGGCTTGAGAACAAGCTTGTGCTTCAGGAGTGGAGAGAGATGTTGTATCTTCTTTCTTACGAAGCCATGACACTTAAGTTTTGTCCAAGCATATAGCAGCACCGGGAGGTAGTTTTTCTGTCATTAAGAGAACCACCCCAATCTGTAATGTCAAAAGCTTTTGAGGGTGTATAATGCAGACCATAAGACACTGACCCTTTGACATATCTCATAATCCTTTTGGCAGCTTGAAGATGAGATACTCTTGGATTGCTTTGAAACCTGGCACTCACACAATAAAATACTAAAATTAAATACCAACTAAAATTAAATAATAAAATAAAATACCAATTACTAATTTAGTTGGGTTTCCAATTTAACTAAAATACAACATATTACGTATTTTATTATTTTATTTTTTGAATATATATTTGAGTTTCTTTATTTCAGTATTTATTTACTAATGTGTATGTATATATATATATATATATATATATATATATATATATATTTCCGATCAACATATTACTTATTTTATTTTTTGAATTTGTCATTATTATTGTTTTTATTATTTAGTTTTTATTTGCTTTTTGAAAAACAACAAGTTTTAAAAAGAACAACCGGAGATAGATATAGCCTTTTAGCAGTAGAATAATTTTAAATTGGAAACCCAATTGGTATTTTATTTTAGTTAAAATTAATATTAGTTATTTTAGTTAAAATTAAATTAGTAGAAGAAAAAAAAATAAAATTTGTAGAAGAAATTTATATTAGTTATTTTAGTTAAAATAAAAATAATACAAGTCAGGTACCTTGGATTTGCAATTGGTATTTTGGTTAACATTAAAATTAGAAACCCAACTAAATTAGTAATTGGTATTTTATTTTAGTTGGTATTATACTTTAGTCAAAATTAAAGTTAATTATTATTTTGTTTGTAAGTCAATGATTTGAAACACCTTGTACTTTTAATAATAGTATATATATATTATTTCCATTGTTGATGCTTTCTATTTTTTTATTTTATTTTTTTTATTAAAAAAAAATCCTTACAAATCATTTTATGGTTTATTAAACCAGAACACAGGGTTTTCTAGCTCTTTTCACTGGTGATACTGGTGAAATCCGTGCTGAAGTGAGGGAACAAATCGACACGAAGGTTGCAGAGTGGAGGGAGGAAGGGAAGGCAGAGATTGTGCCCGGTGTTCTCTTCATTGATGAAGTGCACATGCTTGACATCGAGTGCTTTTCTTTCCTAAACCGTGCTTTGGAGAACGATATGGCACCTATACTGGTTGTTGCTACCAACAGAGGGATCACCACAATCCGAGGCACAAACTATAAATCACCACATGGGATTCCAATCGATTTCCTTGATCGCCTTTTAATCATCTCCACACAGCCTTATACAGAAGAAGACATCCACAAAATTTTGGACATCAGATGCCAGGAGGAAGATGTGGAGATGTCCGAAGATGCAAAGATTTTACTGACAAAGATTGGGGTAGATACATCCCTGAGATATGCCATCCACCTCATCACGGCCGCTGCATTGTCTTGCCAGAAGCGCAAGGGAAAGGTTGTGGAGATGGAGGACATAAGTAGAGTTTACGAGCTATTTTGGGATGTGAAGAGATCGACACAGTACCTGATGGAATATCAGGGTCAGTATATGTTCAGTGAAGTGCCAACGGGAGAGGGCGATGAGGATGAAGAAGCCAATGCCATGGTTTCTTGAGAAATTCATTGGACTCGGGATTCGGATGTTAGTTTCAGGCTGTACCAACTTATTTGGATGGGATACTCACATTATAATGCTTAATGTGCTTACCATGTATAAAGTCTGGATTGGACTAACATTAGGAGTTTAACCGAATGTTGATTATTTTTCTGTACACAGATTATGCTTGAAATCCTTTTGATATCTTTCTGAATCCTAATTATGCAAAGGTATTTGATATTCATAGTTTTTCTACTATGAACTTGTGCTTAATGTACAGGAATGAGGTTAGTGTTTGGTAGTTGATGTCCAGAATTCTATTGATCTCGCCATTCTCTTACGTTCAAAATTGCAATATTTTTCTTGTGGCGTTGTCTTGGTGCGTCACATTTTTCCTATGAAGATTGAAAAATAAAAATAAAAACAAACCGTTGAAAAAAAAAAAAAAAAAAAAAAAAAAAAATTCATAGCGAATCAAATAAGAACTGGTTTTTGAGCAATTGGATTGTCTTAGACACCGGTGAAGAAGCAAAATATATTTTTAATGCTAGCTTTAGATCTTTTCTATGCGGTTTGAAAAATCAAAAAGTTTTTGCCTTTAGGAGGATCTTTGCTATACTGAGTTTTGTGTAAAATCTAATTAAGAAGTAGGTAACTTTTAATTGGGCTAAAATCCTGTTGTTTACAAAAAACTATCTACTAACCCTCTCAAGTACGAAACTATCATATTACTCTTTGATGTTTTAAAAATTCTATCATATCACCCTTTCCCGTTACTTTTTCGTCGCAAACTAAATTTGATGTTGCCATGAATTGTTGTGATGTGAAGAGGTGTTTGACCAATCGAATGGATTGAATTCACATCAATTTCTTTCAAACCCATCACAGAACTTTCATTAAATCCAATCGCTCTATTTCTGGTGCTTCGTGGTCCCTATTGTTCCGATCCGCTCCGGCGTCGATCAAAGCTATTACTATATAATTTGAGTTTCTCGATCCTTGGTGAATATATATATATATAATTATGTAATATATATAATTCTAATTACTATAATTACTATAAACCCAGTTCAATTCCAGTGCCTTATTCCGTCCAAGAAACCCTAGGGCAATTATCCTCTGTCATGCCGTTGATGTTGCTATTTATTGTCAATTGGCTTCTTCGTTTGCAGATAATGGAAGATATGTATTATATATATGTGTGTGTATATATGTGTATATATAATTCCTATATAATTATAATTACTATAATTATATATAAATCTATATAATTACTACAATTACTATACTTATAATTATAATTATAATTACTATAATTGTATATATAATTACTATGATTATATTTAAATAAATATTAATATACCATCAAGGGCATTCTTGTCATTTTGTAGGAACTTAACGGTTGTGTGACGAAATAGGGGCAATGTGATAGTTTATGTTATATTACGGATTTTTTTTTAATACTTGAGGGGGTTAGTAAATAGTTTCGATAAACAACATGGATGTTTTTAGATTTTAGCCCTTTTTAATTTTAACAAGATTGAAAATAGGTAGATTTAATTTATTGAAAGTAAATTTAATATATATATTTTTTATTTTTGTTTTTTTTATTTATTATTATTATTATTTTCATAGAGTACGTGTATATATCGGTCATACAATACACTCACTGTTTAAGTGAGGAGTGCGATTCAAAAGCGAGATCTCAAGGAAAGAGCACCCATAGCATGGTGCAATACTTTACAAAAGTTCCTAACACTTTTATTCTAGCGGCAAGTACGAAAAACAATGGGCTTGGCAATCAGAAATGTTTTGCATTTATGTTTCCATCTGAAATAGAAACACAATTTTATGTTTTTTTGTGTTTGTTGTGGAGTGTGTTAGTAGTGTGATAGAAAATTTATTTGGTAACGTAAAATTTGTTACAAAATTTTTAAAAACAAGAACCTGAAAACTTTTTTGGTAATAAAATGTCGAAAGTTTGAAAAATAAAACGACTGGTTTAAAAAAGAATCCCCATTCGTAACAAATAAAAAAAAAAATCGATTACAATAAAATTATATTTGGTAGCAATGAAATGGTGAAGTCTTTGAATTAAAATTAAAAGAAATTTAGTTCAAACTTGAACTACATTCCATCGTCAATTTGACGTTTAACATAATATCAAAGCCAATTAAAATTGTCGTACCAAATATTATCATCATTATTTATTATTGCCAAGAATTCCATATTATCAAATATATCTATTATTTATTTGGTTAGATGATAGAAAATTTGATTGAAGGGAGAAAGGGAGGGTGGAGGATACATTAAGATACATAATGTGTCTCCCATTATTTAAATGGAAGAAATGGTAACAAAAATGGAGGTGGTGATAAATTTTATTTATTTATTTTAACGCTGTAAAGACGGAAAAGATATAAGTAATAGTTTTTTTAACTAGTATACCTTCATTGTATGGACTTGTAAAAAAAAATATATTCATTCTAAATTTTAACAAATAATTTTGTAAATTGAAAGTTAAAATCAGTAAATTCGTGGGTAATTATTCTTTCTTTTCTCCCTCCCCGAATTTGAATGGATAAAAAACTCACCGCATAAAAATTTTTAGTCCTTGTATATCAACTTGATAAAAATATATAGTTAGTTTACTTCACTTTTTTAAAAATTCGTGATTAAAGAATTCAAAAAAATTATTTTCAAAGAAGCAAGTACAAAACGACATTTGTCAGAAAAAATTTTACTTTTTAAATTTAATTTAAAATAAAAAATATTTTTTGAAAACTATTAACCAAATAATTTTATTTACGAAAAAAAAAAATCAAATAGAAAAAACACAGAATACACGGTCTCGTTTTTTTTTTTTTTCAAGGCTACTATCTCATTTCATTTGTTGCAGGGAGAATCTTTTGCACCGATGCAAACGGACAGATGAATGCGAGTCCATGTAGTGCGGCTTCTGTTGTGCTGACGTGGCTCAATCACATGCCAAAACGCACGAGTCATCGTGCACATTGTATAATTTTCTGTAAATTTTCTCTCTCTATCGTATCTGAATACCCACGAAATCATCTCTCCCTCTCCCTCTCCCTCTCACACACACACACACACACACACACACAACATAGTACATGAATCTCTAATCTCTCTCTAGTCTCTATCTTTCCCTTTTTCTTTCTCTTTTTCTCTCACACACAAATAGTATATACACCCGCATACATACAGACGCGTTGCTGGAGCATGCTCGCATGACATGACCTATTGAAGGGGCGACCATGCCAACATCAGCGTCGACGCACCGGCCGGAGGACCTGATTGCGCGGCTGAGCTCCGCCGCCACCGACGGCGAGTCCAAGCTTAAGGCCCTGAGGGAGCTCAAGAACCAGATCATCGGCAACCGCACCAGGAAGCTCTCTTACATCAAGCTCGGCGCCGTCCCCTCCGTTGTCTCTATTCTCTCCTCCTCCGCCGACTGCCACGGCGGCGACTCTATTTCACTCCTCCTCCAGTCCGTCGCCGCCCTTGGAAGCTTCGCTTGCGGCGTCGATGCCGGAGTCAAGGCGGTTCTTGACGCTGGAGCTTTCCCTCACCTCTTTGGTCTCATCTCCCATCCCAACGACAAGGTAATTTCGATCAATTTGATACGTTTGGGCCTGTTTGGTTGCTGAGAAAAAAATTGAGAAAGGAAAATTTCATAAAGCTGAGTCAACCCAGGCAAATAATTGTTCTAGGTCATAGTAGAGCACATTCATTTTTTATTAGGTTTCAATTAGATCATGAAAGCATGATGTACTCTTTTTGTTCCTCATGCATTCAATTTTCTCAGTTGCCAAACATTACTGTGGGAAACGGAGTAAAAATTTACACTCGTAGATATGCACCTGTTTATCTCTTTGGGTTGAATGTTTACGTTTATAGAATTTGTTTTATTTGGTTGATTGTGAAGCTAAGCTGCAATGCCTTTTAGGAAAATGGATTCACTATCATTTTGATTTGGAGCTTATAAAAGGGCCAACAACATTCACTGTTACAGTAAATTGGATGTGTTCATTTTTGAAGTTTGTGACAGCATGAGAGAATGAACTTTTACTCAATTTATGTAGATATTATGAGCAAGTCTAAAACTGTAGGCTACTGAAAGAAATAACAAAAATTCGGGACACGGCATCGAATATCGAAGGTCATTAGTACATGGAAAATGGAGAATATGTTCAGTTGCTTTGTCATGATTTGGAGGTTTCTGTAGTATCTTGAGATAATTTTTGTTAGGCTGAGTTATGGTGTTTTTGGTTTATACTTTATACAGTTCCTCATTCCATATTGTATCAGGAGGTTGAGATTGTAAAAGAATGTGGATCATAAAGCTATGGTTGGTTGGTTTAAGTCGAAGCATGTTTCCTTATTTATTTATTTATTTATTTGGTCCTGCGAACAATAGTGGCAGTGCTTCCTTTAATCATAAACCATTTAACCCCGACAAAAGCTTGAATCAAGTCCTAGTATAATTACCTGAAAATTTTATCAGTTAAGCTATTTGGCCTTTTTAAAATGTGCTTTTAGTTGACATATTGAATTTTCCTAGAAATCTTAGAAACGGCATGCTGAGAGAGGTCAATGTTAAGAGAGGTTAGGTCAAAGCGGAAACAAGTGCATCAATGAGAACATTGGAGTAGCTTCAATATGTGATGTGATAAGCAAGAAACATAGAGATAGGTTGATCATGTTCCAGCGTTTCTTCCTTGTTGATACCCTAACTACTCCGAAAAAAAAGAAAAAAAAAAATATACAAGGAATTTTCCTAATTTCACCAAAACATAATTGCTATACATGGAGAAGAAATAAGACAAACATCTTTCTATATGAACAACTAGGACCGAAATCTGAGATTTATGGGTTGGTATTGCAATATTTTTCATTGAGGGTGGGTCCAAGATGCAACTAGGTCACAACATATAGGATGGGAATCTGGTGATATGAAAAAATATGCTACAACATGGTTTCTTTTTTAAATCTATTTAAAATTAAAAGAATAGTTTTAACAAAAAAAAAAAAAAAAAAAAAAAAAGGGGGGGGGGAAAAATTTCTGCTACAAGAATAACAAAAGGCCACTTGGGTCATTCAATACCGCCCTAGTCTGGTATAATATTACAAAATACTGCAAGCCAAATATTTAATACATTTATTAGGAGACATACACTAAATGGAATCAAATCATATTATCCTCTTCAGAACCAGCATTCCAATCAATGTCATACCACTTCCATCTTCACTTTAGATATCATCATTTCGCTCATTATGTACCATTATGTCCTATTGTTGTGTTCGTAAGGTGGCGTATGTGGAAATTATGTATTATTTGGATTTTTTTGGAAGTTAATTATAGGGATTTAAAAGTAAAAGTTTATTAGTAATAATTTTTTTTTAACTGCCCTATAATATTATGTAGTTGAGTTTGTGACAATCGTAGGATTTGCTTGCACTTTAGTAATATTTCCAGATATCTCACATTTGTTAATGTTTCAACATATTGTAAAGTTGTGACTTCTGAGCATTCATTAAATCTATATAATCTATATTATATTTAATTAAAGAATAACTCAACTTAATAAAGCTTCATTTGAACTACTTGTTAAAAAAAAAAAAAAAAAAAAAAATAGCTTCGTTCGAACTATTTGGAGTTGGCTACATTAATCCTCTTCGTTATTTGGCTTTATATAGGGCCATAACTTTAGGTAAGTCATATACATTCATTTTTTTCTTTACTGTCTCAATACGTATTAAGTTGGTCTTTCCCATTCCTTAACTTTACCCTCGATGTGTATCTTGTCACTCTTCCTCACTGGTTCAGCTATTAGTTTTCTTCTACACATGGCCACACCATCTTTGTTAAATTTCTCTCATTTTATCTCCTAAGGTGTAAATTTAACTTTTTCATTATTGTAATAATATCAAAATTTATCCTTTCTTGCTTTATTGCACATTCTTGTGAACATTATCATTTCAAAGATGCTTTTTTCTTTTTCTTTTTAACAATGTGTGTATATATATATATATATATATATATATATATATGTATATAAACACATATATATTTTGATAAATAAGATTTTATTAGAAAGCGTCCAAAAGGGGAACGCATCCCATAGAAAGCTGCACAATGACCAAATAGGGCCCTAAGAACCCAATGTACCCAAGATTTGTGTTTGGTGCTGCTTATGGAAGGAGCGGAACAGAAGATCTTTTGATGGGGAGGAATCTTCCTTGGGGGCTTTGAAGTTCCGTATTATTAGATCTCTTTTTATTTCGGTTTTGGGGAGAAAATTTATATCTACTGAGGAGTTTATTGATTTTTTGGGTTTGGTGGTTCCTTAGGATCTTGTCTCTGGCTTCGGCCTTTGTATAGCTTTCGGGATGCGTTCCTCTTTTGAATGCTTTCTAATACAATCTTACTTATCGAAAAAAAAAAAAAAAAAAAAGGAAGCCAATGTACCCAACAAAAAAAATCAACTCTCCGCTAAAGATTTACAATTTCTCCCAAGCACCCAACAAAAAAGAGAGCTAATAATAGAGTATTTCAGTGCCCCAATAAGAGTTTCCTCTCCATCGAAGGATCTTCTCTTCTGCTCCCTCCATAAGCACCACTAAACACATAAGGGCACCACCCTCCAAAAGTCACGGGCTTGGGAGCCCACTGTACAACCTCTCCAAACTTCTACCATGCCTCTTGAGGACCAAAGCATGACCCACTGAACCCCAAACAAGCCCAAAAGTAAACTCCAATGGTCACGGGCCACTAGATAATGCAATAACGGATGATTGACAAACTCGTCTCTCTTGCACATGCAATACATGATGACAATAACCTGACTCCTCTTCCTTGGGTTACCCAGCGTTAAAATCTTCCCCAAAACCGCTGTCCAAGCAAAGAAGACCACTTTAAGGGGGGCCTTTGTTCGCCAGACAGCCTTCCATGGGAAGAATATATATTTTTTGACTAGACAACTGCATGTCTTTGAAATCAGGCTGGTCTAATATTTTATTTTTATATAAAATTTGTCTTTTACTTTCAAAGGTATATTGATCATCCAGTTGTTTTAATTTTATGAGCAACATCATCTAAAATCTTTCCCACCCTTAGAGTAGTTGAGTCTAGAAAAAGACTTGTTTACTTTTTTCACTTTTTGTGTTTCTTAAACCTCGAATCTTCACTACATCTCCACTAATTATTCTAGATTGTTGATGTTGTATATATTTTTTCAGTATATGTCCTAGTTATACTAAACTCATTTAATTTTTAGATTCTCTCTTCGTATGGTTTAACACGTCCCTTTTTTGGTTTCATCAAAGAAAACGATAACAACAAAAAGCATACATCATGAAACCTCATCTTGAATGTATTTTGTTAGCTAATCCATTATCAAGGCAAAAAGATACGCATGTAATGATGATCCCTGATGTAAGCTAGACTATATATTAAAAATACTTGTTTCTCTTGCAATTTGATTTGATGGAAAGTGCCTTTTTTTTTTTTTTTTTTTTTTTCGCATGAATATATTGCAGTTTTTTTTTTATTAATCCACCATATTATATTTTTGGCTTTCCTATCATCATTATATGGTAGTAACTTCCATTGTTGACCTCATTGACATAAGTCCAAATTGATTTACTGACACTGGTTGTCTTAGTTGCTGCTCAATCAATCTTTTCCAAAATTTTATAGTTTGACTTGCTAATTTAGTGCTGCGACAATTTGTACAATTTCAAGCATCCCTTTTGTTCTCATAATAGGTATTAAATACTTTTTTGCTACTCATTGGGAATTTTTGTTTGTTATTTAATGTAATTAAATAATTTTGTTAAGCAAGATATGCAGCATTCCTAAACACTCTCAATATGAATGCCATATGGTCTTTAAATCCTTCTTGTTGTCATCTTTCTCAATGCATTATCTTACTTCACATACCTTGATCTTATGAAAAAAAATATGTTTTCTTTAATCTCCCTATTAAATACCTTATTATTGGAAACCTAAAATTCCTATACATTTTTCATTCAACTTCTTAAAATATCTTTTTCACCTGTTGCTAATTTATTCCATCTTTCACTAAGACCGTTAGATCCTCACTCTTAATCATTTAATATGGTTGAAATCTCTAGTTTTCATCTCCCTTAGCCTTTCAAGTTTGTATGCAATCATCTCCCCATCCGTTTATAGATTGTCCGTATGCTATATACTTATTGAGTCTTTCTACTTTCTTGCTTTTGCGTCTCCGTATTTTTCAAAAAAATTCATTCGTACCTTTTTATTTTTATTTTTTTATTGCTGTTTCGATATCCTGATTCCACATCCGAGTTTATTTAAGCAGTAACCCATTTCTTTTGATTCTCTAAGAACCCTTTTCGAAATTCTTTTAGTACATTCGGCCATCTAATTCACAGTAGTGAGAGTACATTAAATAATCTTCTAATTGTATGCCCTTTTAACATTTTTTAAAAAAATAATTCTTCGATCTCCATTTTATAAATTCACCATTTTATTCTTAGATTTCTAATCAACTCTCTATTTCTGGATTGCCTTTTACTATATACATCTAAAAGCATCAAGCTATGTTGTTATGTTATGCTCTCTCATAAAATGACCTAAACATTTTTACTTGTTCTTTTACTCTTCTAATTACGATAAAAATCAATTCGCCTCCTGTTTAATCTACTTCTGAAAATAGGTAATAGCCATCACCAAACCATCATGTGCGACTGTGAAGTCTAGGATAACGTCGAAGAGTCATTATCGCCGAAGGATCATTCGATATCTCCACATTTGTGTCTGCCGTACACTATTATCTCATATTCTTCATAATGTTTCTCTACATGACTCCTACAAATAAATTCTCTGTTTTAGGTACTTCTTGAATTACTTCATTGATACATTCCCGAGGATTGTACTTTAATGTATTTGTCTTGTTGCACGAAAGTAATTATGTTATATTCCCTCCCAATATTTAAAGTATCTCATCTTCTTTTCCAATGACAATTACAGCTTCTAAATTTGTTATAAGCTAGTATTTCCCCTCTTTTTCATTGTTTATCTTTTCCAGTGAAATAAAGTTTATTATTTGTATTATCAAATTTCCTTCCTCTCTGACCTACTTAGTTTTGTGTAAACATGCTACATAGTTCTTCTAATTATAATGTCTACAAACTCCATTTTTTTACCTACCAATATTCCTATATTCCAATTCAATAATCTAAGTCTAAAATCTTGTACTAATTTCTTTACTTGTGTTTGTCCAAAATAGCATGGCCATCCTTGCCACTTTTCACCTTATCCAAGTCCCAATGCTCAACCCCCTTGTTCTTCAATATAATTTTCCATAATGTCGTAACTATTTTTTTTTTTTTTACCTTTAATCTAATTGCATATATTTATACTTAATATGTCATACATTTGAGCAATTGATCTCAGAGAACTTCCATTTTGATTTTTTTTGGATCTGTAACAAAATTGGATCTTAATTCTTTATCCTTTTTAATCACTATTCATCTACATGTTGATTTTAAATATCATTTTGATGGCTTTCTCTATTCTCTAGGTTGTGGATGCTGGTGCTCGCTCCCTTAGAATGATTTATCAATCAAAACTGGCTCCAAAGTATGATTTTCTTCAGGAGAAAAACATGGAATTCTTTCTTTCACTTTTAAATAGCACGAACGAAAATGTTACTGGACTTGGTGCAAGTATCATAACACATTCTTGTGGGACAAGCATAGAGCAGCAGGCATTGAGTGATGCTGGAGTACTAAAGAAGCTAATTTGTCTTCTTGGAGGTTCCCTAAGCCAGAGAGACGCTAGTTTAGAGTCTTTAGCCACAATTCTCAAAGATAATCCTGAAATCGTTTCAAAGTTTGTGGGACCTGAAATTGGAAGAGGATTGAGTGCTGTAACTGAGTTGATAAAGGATAGGAATCCCCGGACAAGATTGCTTGCATGCATGTGCCTGATTATTATAAGGAATACCTCTCCTTGCTATCTGGAAGATGTGGGAATTGAAACCAAATTGATATTAATCTTACTTGAGCTTCTTGATAATCCTGGTCAAGTTGGAGATGAAGCTGCCTTTGCTTTATCTAGTTTGATTGTGGAAAAGGAGGATATGCAAAAGTTAGCATTTGAGGCAAATGTTGTCGATAAACTCTGCAACCATTTGCAGAAAGGTCCATTGCAGACCAAACGCCATCAAGGAATATTGCTAGCATTGGCTGATCTATGCTCCAAGTTAGAAAGCTGCAGGTCTAGGCTCCTATCATTGCAGGTCCGTTGTTTCATAAAATGGATTAACTTGCATGTGGATACAACTAGTTCTGCAGTAGTTTTCTTTTGAATAACTTACTAATTCTGCCATAGTTCTTTGATACTCCTTTTTGGCTTTTCACTGTTAAGTAGAGTTCTGCCAGTCAGCAGTACAAAAGGCCTAAATTTATGACTCAACTGTCAGACATCTCATCTGCAGAGCCACAAATTGGGTTGAGAGGATTATCTATAGGGCCGAGTTTCAGATTTAATAAAGCAATAGGTTTTTTTTCTAAGGAATAACTTGTTAGTGATAATGCATACCCCAATTCAACCTAGTTTTGGTTGGTTAGTAAGTGAAGACAAGCAATCCTGTTCTCTGAAATTTAACTATTTATAAACAATACAAAAAAAACTATATCCCGCCATTAATTAAATATGTAACTATTAAAGAAGGGCCTAATTGAGCTCCTTTATTAAATCATTTTTTCATTTCACTTTTTAAAAAGAAAAGGAAATTATTTATCTTTCCATATCATATTAAATCTACGAGTAATAAACCACTGAGAGCGAATCACATGCTTAATATATGGGAAAACCTTAAATGCTCCTTATTTACTTATTTCAAAGACCATTTGTTGATTGACATTTAATATTCATTCCTGCCCTTGTTTTCTTCTCAATCAAGGTCGATGCAGTTTTAATCACATGATATAGGATGAAACAAAGAAGTTTAGCTAATGAGTGAACTTTAAAACATCTTGTCTGAGTGCTTCCCATCATTTTTCTTGTAATTGGTTTCACAAATAGAAGAAATGATAATTTGATAATTGGGTCATTCAGTCTTTATACTAGATGTCCTGTCACCCGTGCAGTAACTAGAAGGTTTAGTTTGTTGCATAAATATTTGGAGACTACGCTTCAAATTGGTCACAGTAGAGAGACCGATTGGTTAAATCCAGTTAGACTGGCAACCTGAAATGGCTGGTCCAATGTGCATCATTTCTATTAAGGATTAAATACTGAATGTTAAGAAACTTAAAGGTAAGCATGAGTCTCTTTTTTTCTTCCCCCGCCCCCCTCCCCTCCTTTTTTTAATAAAAAAATTAAGTTTTACATTTTGCCCTTTTTCTTCCTATATCTTTCATCTTCACCTCAGAATCCTGTTGCTCCCTTCCAATTGCCTTTTATAACAAAGGAACAAGTGACTTTTTCTCTTTACATGCATGTGAAGCTTTCACATGGAGACACTCAATTAAAGCAGTTTGTTTTGTACTTTTAACAGTTATAGGTTTTCTCTGGACCTTGATTACACAACATGGGTCTGGGTCATACCAATTTTCTGGTATGGTATTCTATCACAACTTATGACCTTGGTTGGTTCTCAGTACATTTGACAACTTCGGTAGTTATTGACATATAATGATACAAAATATGAAACTGAAGATACTGTATGTTTCACATTAAAATAATATTCACTGCAGATATAATGCGAGACGAGAAATTCTCATTGATATGTATCACATTCTAACTGTAATTTACATTATATAGTAGCCTACACATGTTTCATGAACAATACATATGGTTGCATAATACCTGAAGTATTAGTTTTCTATGACAAGTGAGGAATTAAATTTGTCTCCAGGAGTAATTGTCCCTGACACCTTAAGTTTGTGTCAACATACAACGCCTGTGTCCATGTCCACAGATCATGGTCTTTATCACACAAAAAATTATATAGATGAATGTAGACACCTATCAGACAAATAGTTATATTCAATGGCTGTGGTTGTAAATGATTGCTCTTCACCCGCAAGAAGAGTGGTTGTAAAGGTTTGCTCTTCACCCATAAGGAGAGTCCCATAGTGGATTCGAAAATCCTTGAGAGGGCATCTTGAGGTGTGGATGTAGGCGCGAGTGCCGAACCATATTATGACTTTGTATTAGCTTTTCATCTCCCTTATCTCTTTACTTTGTGCATATTTGATTGTGCATTATTGATTAATTTTTTTTTTTTTAAAAAAAAAACCTTAAATAGTTTATCATTTGCACAAACCTATTAATTTTTTTTTTGTAGTTCACAAACTTATTAATCAAATTAGAAACTATCTCAATTGCTTGTATTTGATTATATTGCAATCAATTTTATTTTATTTTTTATGATAAGTTTTTTTTTTTTTTTTTTTTTTTTTTTATAAAAAAGATCTCATTGTTTAGAATTAATTGAATCGAATTAATTCGCATTGTTTCCCCCCCTCTCTCTCGGGTAGCAAAAGCATTCATAATCAAATCTCATTTTGAATTTTGCGTACTGTATAGAATGCAAAGATCTTTGTATTGACAATTTAACAACATTAAGATTGGCTTGGAGAGTAACACGATAGCTATTCTTAACCGAGGATGCGTGTTTATACTTTGTAGTCTAAATGTGAACATAAAAGCTACTATGAGGATAAACTGCAAGCTCCAAATTGGTGGAGTTGAAGGGTTGACATGGATAGCAGCTTCTCATATAAATTAGTGACAAAAAATGTGGCTATGAAGAAACACTTTTCTCTTTAACATTGTTTCTCTTGGATTTTCTCTTTTGTGCTGCTCTCGACTTGCTGCAATTTTTTCTTGGCTACAAGTAAGGTTTTGTGGTGCCCTTGATGCAGTACTTAGTCCCCTCATACCCAGTTATGGTGTAATTTATCTCATTATCATTTCATTTAAGGATACAAGTTGTCAATTTTGGCCTGTGAATGGGAACTGACTAAAGCTAATAATAACTAGTAGGCTAGTGTAACGGGCCGGACGCTTGCCCTATGACGTAAAAGCTTAAGCTGTTGGGTAGACTTCATACCCACCCATATATGCCCCGACCTTCCCTTTTCGTATCCAGTGTGGGACAATAATCTTAGACATTCTCCCCCATCCAAATTCGCAATGCCCTCATTGCGGTCGGACCACCTTTCCTAACTGGCTGCTGACCTGGACACCTCCCAGGCTGGCGCTCGGTGCGACACCGGATCAAAATACTGGGTTTGGCTCTGATACCTCTTTAGCGGGTCGTCGCTTGCCTTCTGACCCAAAAGCTTAAGTTGTTGGGTAGTGCTGCATACCCACCCATATAAGCCCATGACCTCCCCCATCCGGATCCGATGTGGGGCAAGAACCTCTAACAGCTAGTAGAGGAGATAAGGCGGCATGTCTATTTGGACAACCTTGCTTTAGACACTGATCTGTCAAGCTTCTTTAGTAAATTAGCTTCCAGCTAATTTTTCATAACTCTTCCTGAGCTTGAGAAACCTTTGCCTCTTGCAAACAGAAAACTGGCTGCCTCTCAGAAAGGTCATCTGAAAGCCAGTGGTGGCGTTATCCCATAAATTTGGCGGATCTATTTTCGGTTGGGACTGGAAATTTGCAATTTGCCTCCTAGATGTTTGAGAGCGCATCAAGCAGGATCTGCCAGAAATGGTTTGTGAAACATATAAATGTCTGGTGGAGGGATTCTCATTATATTTCGAATCTATGCTCAAATATTCTCAGTGATATGAACTTACAGTAGTTGTATATTCAGTCTTGTAAACGCAACATAGTACTAGCCCTAGTTAGTAATTACTGATGAGGAATTTCGTTAAACCCGTTCTTTGTATTTTGAAATTTATTACATGCATGAATCTTTTACTTGCAACCTCTCTTTTGAATGTAGGTCCTGAACTTGGTAACTGATGCACTAGCTCATGATAGTGCTGATGTACGTGCTGCGGCTTGCATTTGTTTAAGAAGTGTTTCTCGGTCAGTTAAGGTTCGGATTATGGACATTAAAAATTGTCGATATTTGAATCTAATTTTAGCCTGTAATGATTTTTGCTGATGAGGTTTCATACAGAATCTGAGTGCAGGTCAGTTTATGAATGAAATTATTGTCGTTCCCTTGGTTCAGCTTTTATATGACACATCTACATATGTCCAGGTATGTTTCAATCTATTTGTTTATTTATTTATTTTAATTTTTCTGGTATGTTGCATTGAATTCTCTGGACTGGATGTGCATGTGTATGTAACTGATAGACTTGTTTGTACCGATGCATGGGGATAACGTACTGCTGCATTGTATAGTCTGTCCAGTACTTTCCAAATTCATCATTTTTTCTTTTGATAACAACTGTATAAAAAAAGCTCAAAATGGGAGCGTCTCCGTTAGTCGTTGATTAAAGTCCCATATCTAGTTCATAGGGTGGTGTAAACTGTCTAAATCCCCACCAACCTAATTCCTATGTTCTCTGTGTCAATTACCTTTTCCTAAGTGATTGAATATCATGGAGCAATTTGAATGATTTGCTGGAGTAGCTTTCAATCTCCATTCTTCAACCAATCCACATAATTTTCCCTGATCTTTTGAATATTTTAAGCAACTGGGTAAGCAGGCTGATTTTCTGTTGACTGCATAAATCTTTAGAGTTGGATTGAGCTTTCCTTGACCTGATTAAGAATTGAATGGATAAATTTAAGCACCCCTACCAGGGGCTCAACTGCTTAACAGCTCAAGTATATGAATGCTTGTTAAGAGAATCCTCATAGTTGTAACACGGTGCTTTCCACATTTTAGATTAGTGGTGTTATTTTCTTATTGAGTAATTGTATTTGCAAGATAGACCGAACAATTCCTTTTCATGTTGCTTTTCATCACATTCCATAGTCTGACTTCCCTGCTTAACGGTGCGTCTGCACAATCGCCTGATAGTCAACTGGAGCTCATCTTTCTGTCCTTTACTTGGGATGTTCAAGTCCTACCAATGTTGATGTGTGAAGATGTAATAATGATGTTCTTTCCAGTATCCAATTTCATTAAAAAAAAATGCGTATATAACTATTTATATTACCAAATTTTCATGGTTTCAGTGAATGTATGATTTTCCCAATCTCAGTTGGTTAGCACAAAAAGCACTAGAATGTGGTATATGCTCAGTTCCAGGCCATTGTAGAAAAACTGTTATCGAATTCAAAATTCTGTCTTCTTACATGGAATTTGGAGTCTGACTTAAATGATTAAAGGTTCAGACAATTATTTGGTAATGGCACCATGTCAGAGTATTCTTTTTTTTTTTCCTTGTTGGTACTCACACACCCCCCTCCAAGGAATTGTTTGCACCTAGCAAGAATTGATCTTGAGACCTGATACTTCATGAGGCACCAGGGCCCAAGTCTTTTCCAACTAGGCCAACCCTTTGGGGTTACCATGTCAGAGTATTCATTGTAGCATGGTTTTCCCTGATGAGGTCTTAAACACTTGCCTGATCAGTTGACTATTATTAGTGTCTCATTATCCTGAATATCAGGATGGTGAAAAGACCAATGATGTTTGCACATTTTGAGATGGATGCTAGGAGTTGAAGGGTAAGAATGATAATTTAAAGAGATTGTTAGGAGGACAATCCCATGTTTTGGCAGGATTTCAACATTTATGCAGTCATTTCCTGTCCTGAATATGTTCGTCTGGATGGTGCCGTAAAACATATATGTGTTTGATACTTTGATGTGATCTCTGTAATTGTTGATGTTTGATGTTGTATTTTTATGAAGCACATGACTGAGGTCACTTTTGTGTGATGGTTGTAATACGTGAGAAACACGAGCGGTCTGTAAAAGATGCTCATCTGATTGAGCCCCTCGAGACAATAGTCCACCTCATTAGTGCGTCGGATAGTTGGACTAATTAACAGTCTATAAAACATGCCTGTTTCTTGTTCTCATTTTCCACAATATTTTTGAAGAATGCTTAGTGCTTGCTTATTTATTGCAATTGCATATAATTGATAAATATAAAGATATATGTATATTTTCCTTTGCGACTACGGCCTTCACTATAATAAACTGCATACTTGAAGAGATTTTGCTTGTAATATATGTAAATGATGTTTCTTATTGATGCTTCTGTTGTTAGGAGTTAAGATTATTTAAAAGATCTTCCTCCAATCCTCTGTTTTTCAGGTTGCTGCTCTTGGTGCTGTTAGCAACATAGTGGTTGATTTTACAACCCAGAAGTCCACATTCATACAATGTGGAGGTGTAAAGCAGCTTGTTCAGCTATCAAAATCAATGGATCCTATGATTAGGGTAAATGCTGTATGGGCTTTGAGGAACTTGACGTTCCTTAAGGATAATAGGTGTAAAGAAGAAATTTTTTTGGAGCTCACAGTATCTACATTAGCCAGCCTCATCTGTGGTAATCATCATGTTCATTGTTTTCGATGATTGATAATGATTACTGGTATTGCTGTAATATACTTTTCTAACACTAACAACTTCCTGATTGTATTTATACTGCAGACCCTGAGCCTTCTGTCCAAGAGCAAGCTTTGGCTCTTGTGCGGAATCTTGTTGATGGATTAATAGACTCTGTTGAGTATGTCTTTGCTGAGGATGGTCTTATATTACGCGCTGTAGGAAGGCAATTGCACACTGCTTCTAAAGCTGATGTTTTGATTCAGGTTAGAAGTCTTTCTTTTGCCGGAAGTCCTTGAAATTAACATTTGACAACCTCTTTATCATTGAAGGTGGAATGCCATAATAATTTGTTTGTGGTTATGACATCTTGGTAGTTTGCTGTTAAATTCTTTTGAAGCCTTGCAAATGTGGGCCAACTCACTTATCTGAAAGAAAGAAAAAAAATCTGGATCAAAATTGATATTTTTTATAATAGGCGAGTTTTTACCATGAGATGACTAATCATCTTCCCAATCTGGTACCTTGTGTTCATTATGAAGCATGTGACATATGCAGCCCTCTTCAAGCTTGATTTTGGATCCATTCCTACCATGCTCAATTTGCTGCGTCTCTTTCTCCAAGTTCTTCAAGTGGACAAACTGCCTAACACCTTACATTCGCAAATGGCTAGTGGCTATGATCAAAATGCCTGACCTCTGATAATTAAATAACAACATATGTAGTTTTTGTGCATATTAAAATACAAAAACTTTGATTGCAAGACTCAGGAATTTTATTCCTTTTTCTCTTTCCTTTGTCTATTGACTTCCCAGTCTCCAAGAGCCCCTTTTTAACTAAGATCTATTTCCCTCCTCTGGTAAAGGGTTCTGGATTCAGTGTAGCTTGATGTCTGGGTTAAAGGAAAGTGTTCATGTAAACTAGTACAACAGTAGAGCAACTTTTACAAAAGAAATAGAGAACTTTTCAAGATTCATGTGGTTAAATACATTAGGACAAAGGACAAAATTTTCGTATGGCCTTGTACCTTCAACAAGTTGATAGCATTAGTAGTGTTCAGGTGATTCTTCAGCTTTGATGTGCTAAACAAAATTGCAGTTATGCCACTTGTTGTTGATCACATTTCTGTCTGATTTTGCATCTTCAGCATTTTGTCATGTTTCTAATGTCCTCTTACTTCCATAGGGTCAATTTCATAATTGTTGTCATATAAGTCATCATGCATTATTATTTCATAAAATTTAAGGTCACATCTTCTGTTATATGAATATATAGTAATGAATTTAAGACCACACATTCTGGTATATTAATTCTGTTGATTTAGTCATCTTCATATAGGTTTTCAAGATCTTGTTGATTCTTGATTCCGGACTCTTTGGCATTCTTAGCTACTTGGTTTCTAGATCTTATTCTTGTATCATTCGTTTTTATTGTAGAAAAAAACTGTTATCCTTAATATTCGCTTCAAGCAGAACAATTCTGAAACAAATGTGTTAAAGATTAGAGTTGGTAATATTTTGGATGAATAATTTGGACCTCCTTCCTTTTGGACATAGGACTTCATCTACTGTTGGTACTTTTTGGAGCTAGATTTTCCAAATCTGAAATGGTTGATAGAATTTGGATAATTTCATGGCTGCAATAATTGAGACTATATATAACCTGATATACATGGTTTGGGGGATCACATTCTTTAGGATACATCTAATTAATGCAGGGAGATCGAGATACTGATCATTTATCAATAATAAAAAATAAAAAATAAAAAGATCAAAATACTGATCATTTTTTATTTATTTATTATTATTAATAAATTTTTTACTTTAAATTATTTCATCCAGTAACTGAAGTTCAATATGTGTAATACTAGGATAAGAGAAGAAACATTTATTTTTTGGTGCTCATTTTCAGTTAATCATCCACATATTCCTAAATTGGGAGTCACAGAACTATTTGATTTTAAATTGTAAATCTTAAAATATCTTTCTAATTAGTATGACTATTGAATGTTAAATTTGACACAATCACAAGTCTTACAAAATTTGTACTATTCGTTATGGTTACAGTGCCCGGGGCCCTTCTTTGAAATCTTTTCCTACTAAAGAGCTAAGTGCTTATCACCCAATGGCTTTACCACCTTATGAGAACTTTCTTTATTTCAATTATACTTTTAACTTGTTTTAATTTAAAGTGTAAGATGATAAAAATTTGCAGTCTTAGACTTGGGTAGCAATCATGTAGCATCTACAAATTTATGATAAGTAATGTTTTAGGTGTTACTAAAACAATAAATGAATATATAAAACATCTTTAATTCATTTGTAATTTTATCAGTTACTTGAGTTTCTTCTTGTTTATGTTAATTAGATTTTTCAAACAATGAACCATTTTGTTTTCTATGAAAACACATACACCCGTTTCCTAAATATTCACAAATTCAAGCAGTTCTGTCCTTAATGTTTTGTGTTGTGCACAATTACATTTGGTGTAAAGATCTTATTACGAACTATCACTTAGGTATCAACTTTGGTCACTAAAAAAGGTGGGAGTAATTTTTGAAATTTCAGTTGCTGGAATCTTTGGTATAAGTTGATGCATTTGCTCTGGAACTGTGGAACAGGGATTATATGCTTATTTTCTAGAATCTTGTAAGAAAAGCAGTTCTCTCGCAAGTCACAATTAAGCCATGAATTTATTGCGTCGCCTTAGAGGCTTGAACTAACTGAGTAGCTTGAATTATCAAGAAATTGATCATCTTGTTGATGAAACGCGGTCTATAAGAAATGAAAATGTCCTTTACAAAGTGGTATCATATTGTTATCATACTTACCTAATGAAAAAAAAAAAACACACATTTTTATCATGGCTTTCCAAATTTGGTTCTTGGTGGATATTTTGTTAAACGCTTTATTAATATATTTATTGTACTACAAACCTCTTAATGGCCCTATTAATTTGAATATTTTTTCATAATTTTAATTTGAATATTTGTCTGTGTGTTTGTGGCCTTCTCTTGAAAGCTCTGAACCTCATAAACTTTAGATGTGCAGTGCCCTTATAGATAATGATTTCTAGAGGCATTTATTCTTAACTCATCTTGTGGAGTACCCAGTGAATCTGTTTACATCTTCCAGAATCGTTGTCAGATTTTTTTTGAGACATTTGAAGTGCTACACTGTGGCAAAATGTTCAAAATTCCCTCCTTTAAATTCCGTTCCTAAGAATAAAACTTGTGCCAGTAAGCTGGAGATAAAGAACTCTTGCATAACCTGTGGGTACAAAGATCTGATATGGGTTCTGGGTGGAGTATGTGTCCAGTGATTAGATATATTCAGTTTCTAACTTTCTATAGGGTTTAAACAGCATGCTAGGAAGCAACCAGAAACTGGGTATTCTTGTTCAGACACATCACTCATCAACACACAAGTAATTGCATGTTTTACATGTGGCCAAACATGCTATATCTATAGTCTACATTATCTTCGATTTGCAATAAAGATGACATTTAGGGAAGAAAAAAAAAAGATGACATTTACGGAAGAAAAAAAAAACCTTTAATATATTAAATATAAGAAACCTTCTTGCAGTATTTGCGAGAAATTTAGAGCACATGCCAACCCATTTTATTATTAGGATTTGAGATATCCATATTATAATGATGAGAGAGGGGGATTGGTTAAATTAGTTATGTTTTTTTTTTTTTCCCTGGTTATATTAGTGATGTTTCTTATGATAGATATTGACAACTGCCTTTATATAGGGAATGTACGTGTTCAACAATTTGGCATCTGGGAATGAGTTTCACAAGGAAGCAGTTATGGATCAACTTTTTACACAAGCCGGCAACTGCACCCAATCAATTATGATCAAGTTTTTGCAGAGTAATGACAGCCAATTACGTACGGCTGCTGTCTGGACTTTGGTAAATCTCACCTTCCCAAGCACTCCTGGTGCCTTTGGTCGGATTTTGAAACTACGAAATGCGGGCATTGTTTCTCAGTTAAAGAATATGGTTAACGATCCCTGCCCGGATGTAAAGGTCAATAGCCTGTAATCAAAATTTAGATGGTTATTGTTGTTTATTTACTTTGTTAGCTAAAATTATATGATCAAATTCTTCTTGTGGTGCAGCTTCGTGTAAAAACAGCACTTGCGCAATCTACTCCTTCAGTTGATGGCTCGACATGAATATTTGCCATTTGGTTGAACTCAGAGCCAAAGCAAGAGATTTTGATGCAGGTTGGTGCTTTGGCCTCACCACAATTTGTAAAATATCATAATCACTTCCACCAACAGCCTACAACAACATGGTATGCATCAGTCAAGGTTTGTATTGACGTTTTTATGGTCATACCATTTGGGGCATTTGTTTTGTACCATTGTGCCAGTTGAAATGAGCTCTATTTATATTACTTTAGGGAAATAAGTAGTAATCTTATTATATCATATGAGTGGTGCAAGTTCAAGAAAACTTGTAATTACCTTTTGCGTGAATGTTTATAGAACGGTTTTTGAATCTTACATCTGCAACCATGTATTGTGAAGTAATTTTGTTTACCTTGTATGCCTAAGCGATTTATTAATTTCACGGGTTATTTTCCCATTTGCAGTTGCCCTAAATTTTTTTCCCCTAGAGTTGCTTCCAAAGATATAATGCATGTAACATTTACTGTGAATAAAAATTCGTCGTCTACTGTACCTTTTGCTTTTTGCAGGTGCAATGCATAGCTTTCAAGTTCTTTGTTTTTTTTTTTTTCTCCCCCTTTTTCCCCCTTCCATGCAAAGCATCGCAAGGAGCTTGTGTGTCTCGAGGCTTACACCAGATGGTAATTCCCATGGTGCAACTCACCATAGCATCCAATTTCTATGTATGATTTTGTTCTTTCTATCAAATGATATGTGTAGTAATATCAACCCTTTTCATTTACATTTTTGTAGCGCAATTGATTGTTTCATGTAACTTGTATATTCGCATGTCAAATAGACACAGATTTTTAAGTTTTATAACTCGATGCTATCAGTTGCAGTTTGGTTGCTCGGCATGTTGTATCGAGAGGTGAGTACACTTGTAGCCCTGAGGAAGCCATCATAATCTGATAAAGCTTTGAGCATGATGCTAACAAAATGGCACAACGCAAATTAGGTTTGCATGAGACCCCCTCCTTGGGGTTATGTATTGGCAGGGTTCTCAAGGTCGGAAAAAAGCCTGAAAACAGAAGCCGGTGGCTTAGCTGTTGTGATATTATGGTAGTATAGGGTGACTCCATTGACTGATGGTCCGGTGGTTTTGCCTTGGCTGATTGATGTGCATGGTTTTTGCTCTTCAAATGACTATAGTTGTGCTGGTCCGGTGGTTTTGCCTTGGCTGATTGATGTGCATGGTTTTTGCTCTTCAAATGACTATAGTTGTGCCGGTCCGATGGGTTGTGCCTTGGCTGATTGAAGTGTATGGCTTTTGCTCTTCATGGACTGAATGTACCTTGTGTGTGAATGAACCTGACTCCAAAGCTCAAACGACCATAAAGTTGAGTCATCACTATCTAGTTGAAACAGCCAAAAGCTCTAAAGAAACATAGGCATATATGGCAGCCAATGTTACTGTTCCTTTGAGAACCTTTTTGAGTCTTTTTCATAAATAGAAAATGGTAGTTTCAAGCATTAGGTTGACATTAAAGAAGATTGGTCTCATGGGCTAAAATATGTGGTAATTGTTAAACATAATTGGCGTAAATCGAGGTATTGCAATTTGTCATTGTTATTTTTCAAACTCAAAGAGTCACCGAATGCTTGAGGGAAATAATATTAAACATTAATGCTTCGGTAATCCCGTATAGAGTGAGGTATACCGTTAGATTTGAGGCCTTTAAATGGCCATTGTATTAGTTTTTGACATGTAAGAAAATTGAATGAAAGAGGGAGAAGAATCGATGTACGAGGCACCTAGATTGTATTTTTTTTCTATTTTTGTTTAGTAGGAGAGGAGAACAAACTGATAATTTTACTTTAATTTTTATTATTAAACTCATTACTTACTTTTTTTGTGTGGGATTTATCTAATATTAATGAGTACTGTAATTTAAAATTTCTATGATAGACCTAGTTGTTTTCCCTCATCTCTTTAACCTATATTTGGAAGGATGAAAATTTGTGAAGAATGACTCATCCATTCAATTATGGGCGGAGCCAAAAATTTTCAATTGGGAGTACAAACAGTGATATAAAGTTAAATTTAATAAATAATTAAATCTTTTCCCGGTGCATTTTTAAAGTACATTTTTAACAACAAATCTATAAATGATATGAGAAAAATAAAAATAATAAACACTTCTATTATTAAGTTTGAATTGTTGAAGGCAAGACCAAAACCTTCATTGAAATTTGAAGAGTCATAAATAATTTATTTTACAAACCATCTTTAATTTCCATAAATAAGTAACTATAAATGAGAACTTTATAAAATTTGGGAGGTCAACTTTAATTTTCTTATACAAAATTATCATTAACCATGAATAATTACTATTAATAGAATTTTGAAAAATATTTGGGGGCAAATTTAATATTCTATACAAAATTACCATTAATAACTATACATTATTACAACTAATAGGGCATGGCCCCCCTAGCCCTGCCTTGCATTCAATCATCCTTTCTCTCATTATTTCATTTCTATCGGTTCTAAATACCGTTGGAGTGGGACCCATAACACTTGTGACGGGTCGGCGAAGAGGAATTTTTCAAAAATTAATAAATTAAGTTTTGCGATATGTCATCTTGGATCCACCAAAAAATCTATTTTGTACAAACAATGCCAAAAGATTGAAAAACTCATTTAACAGAGTTCTCGAGTGGACAGTAATACCATACAATACGAGTTAGCATCGAAAGCTGAAAACCTAAACGCATTATCCAACTCTTTGCAATTTCAAAATGTGAGATCGATTTAGATATTTCATGTTGGTGTTTAGAATGATCCTGAGAAGTTTATGTTTCTGCCACTGGAATCTATTTGAAAAATCATATACTCAAAAAATTGGTAACTAAAAATAAAAAATTACCAATGAACATTAGCCGAGATGATTTGATCCCTCCTCTTCAAATAGAAGATTATTAAGTGTTTGAACTTTTGTACTCGTTTTGTTTTGTAAAAAGTATTTTATTTTACACAGTACTGAAACATTTCATGAACAGTGACCAAAAATCCAAACATCAATTTGATATTTTTACATTTTAGCACGACAAAAACAAAAATACCAAAACAAAATGCGTACTAAACAAGCCCTTAAATGCATCAATTTTTCAAATAAGTTCAGAAATTATATAGATATGATAGACATATAAAACTTCCCAATAATAATCAGATAGGAGATATCCCAGCTCTGTACCCTTCAAAGTAAGCTAAAATGATGGATGATATTTCATATACATAATTTCATTTATACAGTATATGACAATTCTTATTACTTGTTGGAAAATAATATAAATGAGAATTTGAGACTAAACCAGCTAATCTTTAAGCAAATGTCTACCTAGACAACAAGAGTGACTGGAAAGAAGAAAGAGAAAACCAACCCAGCATGTGATCTGCATCCTCTTTCATCCAATCTTCTCCGTGTTTGTGTCGTCGGATGGCCATATCACAGTTTCAATGAGCCGCTCGCGCATCAACTCCAAGTTCTGATCAGAGATCTCTTTATATATTTCGGCATGATCACATTTCTTCAACACGATAACAAACAAGAATACCATTTAGTTTTCGATTTTTTCTGTTCTTTTTCGTTTTGGTTCGTCGTGTGAGTTGAGTTGTAGACTAAGAAGCATGGACACAGATTCGGGACACGGACACGATATAACACAGATTTGAAAGTAAGATATGGACACTGCGCGGACACGACTAATATAAGTATAAATATTTATTTATATATCTATTGAAAAATACAATTATAGAACCATAATGAATTTATAATTTCTATATTAAAGTTATACAAGTTAGAAATTGAAGTTATTCGGATATCAAAAGGAATATATTACATTATATATGGTATTATTATCCTATCTTGTTATTATAGCTATGTTTTTTTCATTACATACTTTGATATGTGTTTAATGTCAACTTTTTTTTTTTAAGGAAAAGGAGGTTGGATACTTTGATATATGTGCATAATGTTATTTCTAAGACTGTCATGTGTTTGTTTTATAAAGAAAGAAGTGTGATGTGTTGGTCAAGTATCCGGAATGTGTTGACCAAGAGTCCGAGACGTGTCGGCCAAGTGTGGAAAATGTGTCTGTCCAAAATAATAAAAATGATATTTAAATTATGGACGCAGCTATGAAGTGTCTGAGACGTGTCAGGAATGCTCATGAAGTGTCGATGTCTGGTACGGTGTTGGATACAGAAGCAACAATTCATAGAAGCGTCCGTGCTTCTTAGGTTATAGAATAAAATGCTTAAAGAAAATTTCTAGATTCAATACCTTAACCCATTTTCCATATAGGTGAAGACGAGTTACCATCACCCTTTCAGCAAGTTCTTGCTTCTCCTGTTAATTAAAATGATAGTAAATACGACATTATTTACCATAATATTGCGAACATTTGTGAATCTTAGTACTTAATCCTAAAGATTTTTCAGAAAATACCTTTACAAGAATGCGAATAAAACGCTTCCCATCTCCAGGCTTGTTATTTACAACAAAACTGCCAGAATGAGGAATGACATAATACTTAGATCACTATAAACCAATTATCCAAATCACAAATATCTAATGCACGATTAACTCAATAATAGAACCGACAATCATGAACTAATGACAAATGTTTAGGAGCATTTTAGGCGAGAAGATGATTCACTTACTCATAAAACCACCTATATTGCGGTGGGTTCATCTCATAGAGCTGGTTTAGAACAGTCCTCACGGCTTTGTACGTGAAATAATTGAGAATTTGCTGCAAGCACAATACCATTGATCACATACAACATTATGGAAAATAATGTGAACACATTAGAGGTAAAATGATGTTGACAGACTAATAACAAGATGATGGTAAAGTGGGACTAAACATATATCTAAAGTATTTTCTGATACGGACACTATCTTGAAGGAAGATACGCGCACAAAAAAATAAATAAAGAAAAGAAATGATGCTCGAAATACTCATTTGTAAGCTAAAGAATTGTTCCTGAGAAAACTTGGGAACCGATTACTTGAATTGGTCGGTTCATGATTTAAGTACACATTTCTGAAATGAGTGAAAAAATATTTAACACAAATACTTAAGTTTTAGGAACCGCAAGATACACATAGTAGAATTTATGTTTCTTAATTGTTAGATTCTATTCGCTAATGGTTTCTTCTGCTTTGAGCTATCAGCTCAATATAATGCAGTTCATTCTAAAACACACAAAAACTAAACAAATAAATAGTAAAAAAGAAAATAAATGGCGCTCAAAATTTTAATATCTTTAATACCCATCAATAATTAACTTCTTAATATCTTTAATATCCTAGTTTTTTTAATAACCCTCAAGAATTAACTTCTCAATAGTAAAAGTTACCATCTCTCTCTCTTCTCACAGTTCAGGTGCTTCAATAGTACTGACTCTTTGATAAAAAGATTTGGCAGCATCCTCTTTGGAAATTTGTATATAGTATTTGTAAAATTATAAGCTCAAGTAAATCATGAAAACTAAGGACTTTTATAACGTCAAATAGGGGCCTTAAAATATATAAAAATACCAAGAATTCAACACATTTAGCACCTTGCAAAACATTTTAGTATGTGAACAATGAATCATATCAAACTTCATACACAAAACTATCCTAATTCCTAATATGATATTGGATTTTTCAAAAACAATTTTGTTGCATTTGGGAGCAAATTTGAACTAAATTGCCTCCAATTTCAGTTCCAATTCCAAGGGTCCAATTTGTTGCTTCCAAACATAGATTTAGAAATTTTCTTACATCATATCAAACTCAATACACAAAAGAATGAAATATGTGCCTTAGAATTGGAATCGAAGATGGTTTCAGTTCAAATTTTGAACTAGTTTTTCTTCAATTCCAAATCTAAGACCGCGCGAATTCCACTATCAAACCAAAAATTTTAGAAATGTTCTTACTGTTTTAACATCCTCAAAGCTATCTTCATACTGCCCCGCCAATTCATTAACAATCACAACGCTCCGCGCCCTGCGCTGCTTCCTGGAATTCTTGTTACCGGAGAGGGCTTTCACTGCGAGCCGCCATTGTTGCCGCGAATCCACGAAAGAGCTGCTCAACTCCAAAGACACTGGTTTTGGCAAATGCTTCTTACCAAATGGACTCCTCTGTAAAACCAAGTCCCCACAGCTCTTCTGGTTCACGATATTACATGTGGGCAAAGCATCCAAACACAAACACGGACTGGTATGAGAATCCACCACGGACGAACCCACCACATGTAAAGCTCCCACCATCCTCACACACACAAAAACCAACCCCCAAAAGAAGGGCAATTCAACAATATAACCAGATTTAGTTTGAATCTGCGAAATTCAAGAAAATAAGAGATACCCACAAGAGAGAATCGAGAGAGAGTAGGAGGGTATCCAAGAAAATTGGAGATTGACAATTGTGGTCAAAAAGTCTTTGTGAAGTTGGGTGAAAAGGGCTTGTAGATTCAGTGTGGAAGTTTGAAGAAATGAATCTTGCTTGGGGGCAAGGAAAAGTGTGATTGAGCGAAAATTTGGGTGATTTTGGAGGGTTGTGACAACCAATCACCAGAAAATTTTTGAGGTCCAAAACTCTCCAACCATAGAGTTTTAAAAATCAAAGCATTTAGCTGATTCTATATACGGTTTGCCAACCACATGGACGGTTATTCCAATTTGGAGGCTCTTTTGACACACACGTAAAGATTTTGTTGGGTATTTCAAACGTGTAAGTATATCTAGAAAGTTCAAAAATAAAATAAAATAGGAATAATTACACTTACCTCCCCTAAGGTTCGGTGTAATTACAAGCGGTACCTCTTACGTTTCAAAAATTACATTGACCTCCCTCCAAATTGATCGGCATTCTATTCCGGCCATTGACCATGTTAAATGACTAAAACACCCTTTAGTATTTTATTAATATCACATAAAGAATATTTTTTTTGAAATTACCATATTGTCCATAATATTTTATTAATATCACAGTAAATTATTTTTTCTAAATCAACTAATGGGTCATATATATATATATATATATAATTTTAGGGCAAATCATTTCAGCCTCCCCAATCTCCTCCATCTCTAGTCTCATACTCAACTATGAACTTGCCCTCTCTCTGCAACTGCAGCTACAAAATCTATAAGAATTCGAAGTTCAAAACCCATATATTTCAGTTAATCTATCTGTCGGCAAGAATCAAAAGTTCAAAACCTATTACACATATCAAAACCTATATCGGCATATCATTTCAGATTGTTCAAAAAATCAAAACCCATATCTTTCAGGTTCCATAGTCCGCTGTTCCAATTAGGGTTCACCGTTCGCAAGCTTCAGCCGCTGTCTCTCAACTCTCGGCTTGCCCCCCTCTCTCTCTGTGCAACTGCTAGTGAGGATACTGAAGATAGAGTGGGCCGGATCTGACCCGAGAGGAAAGCATCGGGTTAGGCAACAGGTTCTAGCCCAAGCTTAAAGAGTAATACAATAGGCCCAACACCTGAGATCCACCGGATTGGGTCAAGCCCAAAAGGAAGAAGGCCCGAAGACTGAGAGCCCAACATAAGAAATTAGTTATAACACTTGTAATCGCCTATAAATAGGCATAGAAAAGAAAGAGAAGAAGAGGATAGTGAAAATGTAATAAAACTCTAAAGAAATTTGGAGAGATATTTTCTTGCATTTACAATTGGCACCGTCTGTGGGAAACATTGAAGATTGATTCTTGTTTGATCAATATTGTGTTGATTCAGACTGATTCTTGAAGACAAAGCTTGATTTCTGGAAGTTGAATCCAGATCTGAGAGATTGCGGTTTGCTCTTGAGAAGTTCTTGATTCCTGATTGATTTTGAGAAATTGGCGTTAGATTTACACAGTGGTGATTCATTCTATCGTGGCTCGATCTGACAAGTTCAAAGCCAAGAAAGCTCAGATCTTGCAAATGGTGAACGTATTTCATAAAATTTGAGTCCAGATCTGACGTGATTCGCGTTAGTGAAACTCATATTTGATTTAGAATTTGTAATTTATGCCTTTGCTCCGTTCCGGAATGATGACTGGGGGTGAGAACTCCAATCTAGTAGAGAATGTCCAGCAAATGAAACTTGATGAGCATGATCGAAGCTCTCAGGAGAGAGAATGCAAAGCTAAGGACTGAAATGCAGCGTCAAGAAGCTCTGGTGATTCCGCGACTGCTCCCGGCAGGAGAAGAAGTTCTACGTCCCGGTGTTACACATCACGGCGAGGAGGTAAGGAACAACCAGACAGATCTTCACCACGAGGAGGTCCGACCAAATGATTTGCCACCAAATCCTCATCGTGTTGATGATTGTGAAGGATCAACTCACATGGATCCACGGCGTGAACAGATCAGGCGAAACGAAGCCATAAATTTTGATCCATATCAAGAAATGCTCGGCCGAGAAGAAGCAATGAAGTTTGATCGCCACAAAGCTATACTGCCGTGGTATAAGGAATTTATGAAGGAAAGATCATTCGATCCGTCTTATCGGTCTTCCATGGCAATGTTCGATTATCGAAGCTCAGAAAGGAGATCTGTAGATCAGAGAGCTACTGCAGGGTTCCAGAGGGAGAATAAAGCCCTCCGCTCAGCGGCTCAAACGGTTGACTCGTCGTTTACCGATGAAATTCTGAATGCTCTAAGTCCGAGGAAATTCTCCATGCCCGTTTTCATTCTATTTAACGGGACGACCGATCCGATTGATCATGTATATCATATTCAGTTGAAAATGGCCTTGAACACTGAGAACGATTCCTTGATGTGCAAATGCTTTCCTACAAGTCTAGCTAGACCAGCACTCAATTGGTTCAAGAAGCTGCCGAGGGGCTCAGTGGATAGTTTTCGAAGCTTATGCGATCGGTTCATAAGCCAGTACTATGGGAATAAATGTTCAGCAAAGGACATTTCGAGCTTATTCACAATGAAGCAGCATGAGGACGAGCGTCTCCAAGCTTTTCTTACCAGGTTTAACCTTACTAAGAGCATGGTGATTGAATGTCAGCTTTCTACGGCGGTTCAAGCGTTTAAATTGGCCATGACTGTGGCACTCCATTCCACACAAACTTGGTAGTGAATACGCCGAAGACTATTGATGAACTCAATGAAATAGCTTATGGTTTTGTGCGTTTAGAAGAAGAAAAGGCAGCTAACGTTCGGAAGACATCCATCATATCAACAGAAGAGAAAACCAAAACAAAGATCAGGCAAAAGCAGGTTCAGCCACAGCGTCAGACCTCTTGGAAATCTGAGAAGAGGCCCAGAGAGGAAGAGTTGGTTACTCCATTAAAAGTCACTTTAGCAAGGCTGTACCAAGAAAATAAAGATAAGTTCCGATCTCCTTTACCAATTAGATACCCCTCGAACAGAGGGACCAGTCTAAGCATTGTGCATTCCATTCTGACTTTGGCCATCAGACTAATGAATGCAGGAACTTAAGGAGATAGGTAGAGATGCTGATAGCCAGAGGGGAGTTCGCAAGTTATATTCAAAGTCCGGCAGTAGAACAGAACCGACAGATGGAGCACGTGAAGAGGAATCAGAAGCCGAGCTCCTACAACTCGCAACCAGTTTGAATAATTAATGCAATTCACGGTTGGCCAGAACCCACTGAGGAGTCAGATAAACTGCTTCGAACACGCCTCCGCCAGCACAGATGAAGAGGAGGATAGGCAGTGTAAACACTCTGCACCAGCAGAGCGCATCAACACAGATAAAGTTTGACAGAATCGACTTGTTACGTGTTCAAATTCCTCATAAGGATCCGTTAGTCGTCAGTTTGACAGTAGCGGAGTGCCTGGTACGACGAGTCCTGATTGATCCTGGAAGTAGCGCGAATGTTATGCCGAGGGACACGTTCGATCAGCTTGAAATAAAACTCGAGAGGCTCAAGCCCACTGCAAATCCCTTGCTAGGGTTCGATGGAAAATGGGTGGAACCCATCAGTATGGTAGAAGTCGCAGTGCAGGCTGCAGAAAGGGTTCTGATAGAAAGCTTTGTAGTTGTTGAGATCCATCTATCTTACAACCTTCTGATGGTCAGAGGGTGGATTCACAGAGTTCAGGGTGTTCCCTCAACTTTGCACCAAGTGATGAGATGCCTGGGGCCTGACGAAAATAAGGTGATTGACATTCATGGGGACCAGGTTGCTGTTAAGGAATGTTATTCTATGACACTGAAATCTGCTGAAAAGGGAAAAGCTCCCATCCGTTCTGCAAGCCCTAGATAGCAATTACAGGAGCCTCCACCCAGCCAAAGTGGGGAGGAGGAGTTGGGGAACTTGACTGAAGAACCCTTTGTTAATGTGCAGATCGATCATAACAAACCAGAATGAACAACCAGAGTGGGAATAAGACTTGCCAAGGAAGAGAAACGGGAGTTAATTGATTTCTTGTCTCAGAATGCTGATGTGTTTGCTTAGAGCCACTCAGACATGCCCGGAATAAGCCCTTCGGCATCCTGCCACTCCCTCAATGTCAATATGAACGCGAAGCCTGTTAAGCAGAGGCAGAGAAGATTCGCTCCAGAACGTAATCGGATCATAGCCGTGGAGGTTGATATGTTGCTTGATGTAGGATTCATTAGAGAAGTATATTACCCAGAATGGCTTTCGAATGTTGTAGTTGTGCGAAAAAAGAATGGGAAGTGGCGAGTATGCATTGATTTCACTAATTTAAACAAAGCTTGTCCGAAGGATAGTTTCCCGCTGCCAACGATTGATCAAATGGTGGACGCCATTACTGGATACGAATGTTTAACTTTCTTGGATGCTTATTCAGGATACAATCAAATCCCTATGAACCCAGCTGATGAGGAGAAAACTTCTTTTGTAACTGAACGAGTGACCTATTGCTACAAAGTTATGCCGTTCAGATTAAAGAATGCTGGGGCAACTTATCAGAGGATGATCAGCAAGATTTTCAAGGATCAGATGGGGAAGACTGTAGAGGCTTACATTGACAACATGGTGGTGAAAAGCAAGAGAAGAGTTGACCATTTAAAGCATCTGCAGGACGTGTTTGAGGTATTGAGAAGATATGGAATGAAGCTTAATCCAACCAAATGCTCATTCGGCGTAAGTTCTGGTCAATTCCTAGGACATGTGGTTAATCATAGAGGAATCGAGGCTAGCCCAACCCAAGCAAAGGCTCTGACCATGAATGCTGAACCAAAGACAATTAAAGAAGTACAAGCCTTCACAGGTCGGATAGCTGCATTGAGCCGGTTTATTTCTAAGCTGTCAGATCGCTGCAAGCTATTCTTTGACACTATATGAAGCCATGGGAGACAGGCCTGGGGGGATAAACAGCGACAAACGCTAACTAGTTTAAAAGAATATATGCAGAGCCCTCTGATCCTGTCTGCTCCTGAACCAGGAGAAAAGTTATTTTTGTACCTCGGGGTATCTAGTATTGCGACTAGTGCTGTTCTGATCCGCTGCAAGGAAGGACCTCAGTACCCAGTGTTCTATGTCAGCAAAACAATGACTGATGCCGAATGAAGATATTCAAAGGCCGAATGGGTGATACTCTCGCTCGTAAATGCAAAAAGGAAGCTAAGGCATTATTTTAAATCCCATCCTATCATCTTGATGACCGCTTTTCCAATCAGAGTGATCCTGCATATGCCAGACCTCTTGGGGAGAATGACGAAGTGGCCCATAGAGTTAAGTTCGTTTAACATAACGTATGAACCCAGAACGGCTATCAAAGGGCAAGCAGTGGCTGATTTCTTGCTAGAATGTGATTCGGAAGATATGGAGGAAGACCTTCATAGTTGTCCATGGCAACTCTTCGTAGATGGATCCTCAAATCAGCTGGGGGCAGGCATTGGGATTAAACTATAGACACTAGAAGGCACATTCCTAAGTCAAGCGCTCAGACTTGAATTCCGAGTCATTAATAATGAAACAGAATATGAAGCGTTACTGATGGGACTTAAGTTAGCCAACGAGTTGAAAGTCGGGAACTTAACCGCTTTTAGTGACTCACAGTTGGTTATTCGGCAAGTGAATGGCGAATATGAAACTAAGGACGAAACTATGGAGGCATACCGTTCTGCCGTCATGCGCGAGGCTAAAAACTTTGATAATGTCAAGTTTGTCCAGTTATCGAGGGAGCAAAATGAAGTAGCCAATCGGTTGGCATGTAGTGCTTCGAGTTCTGGGGAGACATTGGCGAGGGTGATCCCAGTAGGTATATTGATCAGCCATCCATCTTCGAAGAACCTTCAGGCTCAGATCCTTGGCAGGTGAATGTCATTCCATATGAACCGAGCTGGATAGATCCGATCATAACTTATATACGGGATGGCATTCTGCCTGAACAAAGGGATGAAGCTCAGAAAATCAAGTCAAATGTAGCAAAATATGCCATAGTGCATAACCAATTGTACCGAAGATCTTTTTTTGGGCCATACTTAAAATGTGTCACCCCCACAGAAGCTCGGCAGATATTGCGAACCATTCATGAAGGTGTATGTGGGAATCATTCAGGGGGGAGGTCTTTAGCGCATAAAGCAATGACGCAGGGGTATTTTGGGTCGAATATGTCATGAAATGTGATGAGCACTGAAAAGTGCACATTTAAACCCGTTAAGCTTAAACATTCTAGTACCTTTATCTATCTTACTTTGCCGTTTTAGACTTATTACGTGTTATTTATATTTTCAGGCACCAATCCCAAAATTTAGCTAACTCAGCCAAATAAGAGCTTAATTGAAGCAATCCTGAGATAAACCAAAGAGGGAGCAAAGTGGAGAAAGAAAGGAGCAAAAAGGAATCAAGTTGTGCAGCTGAAAAGTTCGATCGATCCAACTTAGAGTTCGATCGATCGAACATCTATGATCAATCACAGTACTTCTCGATAGATCCAACCTTGGCCTTTGCTGAAATTCCAAGTTCGATCGATCGAACATCACCTTCGATCGATCGAACACTATTTTGTCCTATTCAAATGATTGATCTTATCCACAGTTGTACGCCTACCAACCACTTTTGTCTTTGTCCCCATAAATATCTTGAAAATATCCCAGCCTTGTCATTATCCGGAGGAGTCAGACCACTTCGATCGATCCAATATGCAGTTCGATCGATCGAACCCATTTTCGATCGATCCAAGTTAAGGTTCGATCGATCGAACTTCTTCCAGCGAGAAAAAGTTAAAGTCCAGCTCATTTATTCCGTCCTTTATCCAATCATTGGAGAATATGCCTTGCACGACCACAGCTCATCATGGGGTGTATTTGACCTACCTATATAAGGAATATGATACACTTTTTGAGCAAGTCTCTCTTGTCACACATTGAAAATCATTTTGGAGGCTATTCTTGGAGAGGAAGAAGTGAGGAAGCTAGAGCAACCATTGGAGGAGATCTTCACCAACAAGGAGCAGCCATGGAGTTAGCCCTTGAGGGTTGGATCATCACTACCATGAGTGGCTAGACATCCTCTTGGGGCTAGAGTTAGCCCCAAGCATGCTTTCTATACTCTAATCTTGTGTATTATTGAGGGATTAGTGTTGTATGATACATCTTGATATTCATGTATATATAAATCTTGATTATTTCATGGTTTGTATGGTTTAATGCTTCCAATTGACTATTCTATTCTATCCATATGTCTATGTATGCTAGAGTAGGATATTCATGTGCTTATCCCTAGATTTAGTGTTTTTGATGCATGCCTATGTGTATTGATGCTATAGATCTAGAGATTATCAAGATGATATGCTTAATGAATGCTATTTTGGTTCATTTGATGGTTTATGCCTATTCTTGATGGTTTGTACCTCTCCCCTAGTCTAGATAGCTTTATTTTCATGCTAGTAGTGTAGATTTAGTGTAGTGGTAGTGTAATGTTAGATGGGAGGACAATCTACTCTTGATGTTTGATGTTCCATGCTTGTGAGTCCAAATGGCATATTCCTCTAATATTGTTTTGCATGTGGATTTTGAGCTTGATGAAGGATTAATGACTAGTTATGATATGTTGTATCTTTCACATGTGTTTAGACAATTTATTCCTCTCCCAATAGATATTTTGTACCTCTCACATGATGTTTAGATAATGCATGTTTAACTAAATCATCCTTATGGATTGCTTGGACTATGAGCTTAATGACAGGTTCAATGACTTGAATCGTTATTTTGTTATCTTCACATGATGTTTAGACAATATATTCCTCTACCAATAGATGTATTGTGGCCTCACACATGTTGATTGAGACAATTTGCACTTGTTGAGTCACCCTTACCAATTGAATGTCTTTTACACACACAACATTGTTGCAACACATTCATTTCCCTCATTAGTCACTTGATTATGGTTTGGAATAGTATTGTTTCGTGGTGATCTCTACACCCCAAGACCTTTCTTTCTTACTTACTCTTTATCTTATTGCATTGCTTTATTATAGTTTAGCTCATTTAGTATAATCAACCAACCAATTTCTTAACCCAAAAAGGAGGGGATGCATAACAAAATCTTTGATCCGGGCTGAAAGAGCCCAAGGTCTTGCTAGAGACGTTAAAGATTAGCACCGAAACTCGTAGGATGTCAAAACCCTATTCCTCCCTCATTTCTATCTTGCATTTTGATTCTTGCGAAGTCTAGATACTGTTTTTGTGGTTCATATACATTGGAAGGAACTGAGTAAGGGATTGCATGAGCATTCAAGTCATTTTGAGCATTTAGGCATAATTTCGATCGATCCAAGTTTTGGTTCGATCAATCCAACTATGGACTCGATCGATCCAGCTCTCATTTTGCACCCAACACTTAGAAAAATTTTGGACCTGCATCCAAATTCCAAAATGCATGCTCTCGGGATCTCCAAATTTTTGAAAGTTCGATCGATCGTAAACAATTTCGATCGATCGAACTATCTTTCGATCGATCCAACATGTGGTTCGATCGATCATGAGTCCCAACACTTAGAAAAATTTTTAGGCCTCATCCATTTTTCAAAAATGTATGCTCTCGGGACTTTTCAAAATTTTTCATGTTCGATCGATTGAATTCCAAGTTCGATCGATCCAAGGTTCCAACACGTGTCAACTCTTGAGCCCTTAAACTTGTACATTCTTTATCCTCTTCGATCGATCGAAATCTTTCTTCGATCGATCGAAATTTGCATCTCATTAATTTAATTTCCTTTGATTTTTCAAAATTCAAAATTCAAATTCAAAAAAAAAAAAAAAAAAAAAAAAAAATCCACTTCTAGTTGTTCT